ATAACATATGTATAGACCAGGGGTCTCCAAACTACGGCCCGCGAGGTCCTCTCATCCGGCCCGCGGAGATCTTTTTGTCCATGGAAAAAAAGTTTGTTAGTGATGGCTGAGGAACTTGGCTCAGAAAAATCACTTCATGCCTGGAAGAAACTGGCCCCCGAACTGAAATTCGATAGTTAATGCGGCCCTCAGACTGAAAAGTTTGGAGACCCCTGGTGTAGACTGATTATATATGCTTTAGGTTGTAAACTATATTAAACACTTTCATATGTAAGCTAATTTTTTTCGCTCCTTTTATACCATTTTTATTTTTTAATTCTCGTTTTTTTTTCCAACTGATTTTGAACCACAAGAATGTTCCCCAGTCACAAGTATGTTCCTCAGTGGTTCTAAAATTACGCTAGCACCAGGAATGTACCAAAAGAATAGTTTCATGTGCTATCCCTTACAGTGGCGTAGGCAGGGGGGGTGAGGGGGGGGGGGTTGCAAATCGAAGGTTTGAGGGGGGGGGGTGCAAATCGAAAGTTTGAGGGGGGTGCAAATCGAAAGTTTGTCCCCGGGTAAAAATTTGAACCCCCCCCCCATGAGACGATCCTGGCTACGCTACTGATCCCTTAAGTTTTTAATAAAAATAAATAATGTATTGAAGTCTACATTATACAGCTTATTTTTTTTTTAAATATAGTTGAGTTAAGACACACGACATAAGGCTCTACACGTGTACCGGCTACACACTTGCTGGATGTCACGCTTGAGTGCACACCTAGTCTTTTATTACCGCCTGTTCGATGATACTTTTATGGTTGGTGTAGGTTAAATATGAGAGAATGTGGGCATTTTTTAAGTTGATGTAGGCTAGATATTAGAGATTTTGGACATGTTTTATGGTTGGTGTAGGCTAAGTATTAGAGATTGTGGACATTTTAAAATAAGCTTTGTGGTGCTGTCTTGTCTCTAATATGAATTCTATGAACCCCGCACTTTGCTACCGTCTAAATGTAAACGTGTGACAAAAAAAAAACGTAACTGTCCTAATTAGAATGTTTCATAACGTTATAGGCCCAATACGATGATAAACAACAGTCTTCCACTTGGAAGACTATGTCGGCTACATAAACAATCCAGCTAGAAGTAATAACATCAAGGCACATCATTAAATTTTAACAGGACGGGTAATATACTTCACTAATCCATTATTACGCAAGAACTTTGATCTAGATCGATTGGAAACTATTTCAAAAAAAGCCAATGAAGTTTGCAGAATCCAAGCAACTGGGACGGAATTGTCCTTCCTTTTAAATATTGGCCTACTCATACTTTGTTGAGGGGGTCATCCATAAATGACGTCACTATTTTAAAACTATTTTTACCCCCTCACCAGAAAAAAGCCAAACCCCCACCCCTAAAATGACGTCACACCTCCGCCTACAACCCCCTCAACATTTTTAAAAAAATATCAATTTATTTTTAAAATATTGTTTGATCTCGGCCAACATTGAGGATATTAATGCGCTTGGAAACAGTCCGTACAAATCAATGTTATTTATGTTCAAATCACCTGATACAACTAGTTGTATAAAATTGTTGAAATACAACGCCAAGATACAGTGTGTAGTAAGCCAATATGAAGCCTATGGTTGGTGAGTTAGTGGGTTTTTTTTTCACTCTTTTTTTCCCCCACTTTAATTCGTTCATTCACCTCATTTTTAAAAATTCACATGTAATCTTTAAACCACATAATTCTCAACATACTCATATTTTCATGCTTTCCGTGGTTTGAAAATATCGATGCAAAACTTTGACAAGCTTTAATATGACCTTGTTCAGAGCCTACTTACTTAGAGAAAGATTTGTCACATTGGTACCAAGACAACTGTTTGTCCTTTAACTACGCCTCTAGCAAGAATCATTCTTTAAACCAGTGGCGTAGCGAGGTCTGGTGTCACCCGGTGCGGCACTTAATGGTGTCGCCCCCCAGAGGCGTTGCGACCCTTCCCGGGGACAAACTTTCAAGTTTTCGATTTGCACCCCCCCCCCCTCAAACTTTCGATTTGCACCCCCCCCCCCTCAAACTTTCGATTTGCACCCCCACCCCTCAAGTTTTTCTCTATATATTTTGCTATTTTTTGCCTTGGTGTCACCCCCCTAAATGGTGTCACCCGGTGCGGTCCGCACCCCCCGTCCCCCCCCCCCCCCCTCGCTACGCCCCTGCTTTAAACGCTTTACTTTTATATCGATTTTGTTTCTCTAAACTTGCGTCATGGTTTAAACGTATTGCATCTATCCTAAAGTATATTTACCTTTATAAGAAACAAAAATTTTGTTGTAGAATAAATAACAAACAAATTTTATGTAACTTTTAAATAGTGTATTTTTTGTTTTATTATTGGATAGAAGTAATTAAATATACAGAACTGTAATTAAGTGTCACTTATTTCCCCTACTTTTGAAATCTGCACCCGGCTGACCTGTTACGCCACTGCTCCGCCGGCGCTGACCACATCACAGTCGTCCCACGGTTATTGATTCCTTCATCTCGTGAGCTAATAAAACAACTTTTGTTGGCTAACACAAGACACGGCTGACAGATGTTTGCTCTACCTGTCCGATATGTTGCCTCCCGTGTGTTTTCACCTGCGTGGAATCGATATATTTTTTTATCAGCCGGTCACACACAATGGCATTGTTCATGTTACAGTGTTTTGACCTGTATACTTAATATCGGTATAATTGTTGCAAGTTTATGAATAGGAATCCTGGTTTTCTTTGTTTTAAAAGCTCGGAAACACAGAAAACCTAGAACTTGGGTACCTTTCACGAAATTTCAAATGAAAGTATTAGATAGGATGCGAAGACTTTGGTCAACATTTGAAAGATTTTTAATAACTGAAAGTGGTACTTTATTTCCTTGTGAACACGATAACTTTAGTATCGTTTCAGTTAGATAAATGAAATATAAATCTATACAATGTATAAGATCTTATTCTCTTAATTCTGTGACCGGAAGTAGTAATTTAAGGTATTTCCGATCGCTCAAAATAGCACTTCTGTCGGACTGATTGGTTTTAAACTTTGCAAGATTCAATGACAAAACACTGTGACTTAAAATGTGACTTAATTAGATGTTTGATTAACTTTTAAAAAATTAATCAGTTTCCTTCATAAAGTAATAATTATGCCTTTAATGTTTACGTTAACTTCAGCTGTGTAGTATTCTGCAAATCTATGCAGTTATTAAATTGTTCCCCTTTTTCGCCTCTCCCCCCCCCCCCCCACCTCACCCCACCTCAGCTACGCAAGTGACTCGATGTGTTATTGATCTCATCACAAAGTAAGGCCAGTTTACCCAAGTCTTTACATGACCAGAGGTTATTTCAGGCATCTCTTCGGCAAGGTGCCCCCCTCCCCCCCCCTAAAAAAAATCACGTTCTCCACCTCGCGCCCCCTTCGAAAGGAAGGGAAAAATATTTTTTAAACAAAATATACGCTTTAACCAGAGTTCCCTCTCCCCCAGAAATCCAAGGCTCTACATGATGTAAACACTGTGTCTTCCCCTTCCACCTCTCACCAAACTTACATGTTTTACCATCCATATCGGGTGGGGCATTTGCGTGTAGTAATGAATTCTGTAGTTGCTTGCTGAAGATAACATAACTAAGCAACATATATGCTACATTTGTGTAGTAATGAATTCTGTAGTTGCTTGCTGAAGATAACATAACTAAGCAACATATATGCTACATTTGTGTAGTAATGAATTCTGTAGTTGCTTGCTGAAGACAACATAACTAAGCAACATATATGCTACATTTGTGTAGTAATGAATTCTGTAGTTGCTTGCTGAAGACAACATAACTAAGCAACATATATGCTACATTTGCGTGTAGTTAGGAATTCTGTAGTTGCTTGCTGAAGACAACATAACTAAGCAACATATATGCTACATTTGCGTGTAGTTAGGAATTCTGTAGTTGCTTGCTGAAGATAACATAACTAAGCAACATATATGCTACATTAGTGTTTGTGTGTAGTAATGAATTCTGTAGTTACTTGCTGAAGATAACATAAAGGCTACATCGCGAGGCCGTGCTTTCGTTTACATCGATTAGATCGATCACTAGGTTCATAAATTTAAATAATTGACATACCTTTAACGCGCAAATTATATTTTACATTATCCCCTCATAGATTTGTTTGGTGGGACAGCGTGGTCGGATGGGAGAGCATACGACTGATAACCCTAAAGTCTCCAGGTCGAATCCCGGGCTCCCTGAGTCCTCCCATCTCTGATTGGTATCTGAAATCAAGTTGGGGAAAGTAAAGGCGGCTGGGCATCGTGTTAACCACATTATGCCTTCATATGCAGAGTTTCTTCCAGGCATCTCTTCGGGGGGGCGAAGCCCCCCCGAAAAATTTGTACCGCCCCCCCGAACGAAATGAAATTTATATAATTTATATAGAAAATATATACTTTTAACAGTGTCCGCCCCCCCGAAGAAAGTTTACCGCCCCCCCGAAGATTTCAAGTGCCCCCCCGGAGAAAAAAGTCTGGAAGAAACACTGTTCATATGCCGAGGTCACAGAAACAGGTGGACGCTAATTCACCTTTCCAAGGACCGTCACGTTCGAAAGGACACTTCACATTTTGTATCTTCCGGCCGAAAGTCTGACCACCTCGGCCCCACCCCTTCAGAGGCGTAGCGAAGGGGGGCGGGGGGACATATGTCCCCGGACGCCAACTTTAGGGGACGCCATAATGGGTTGGAAAAATAAATTGAAAGCATGAGGAGGGATGCAAGTCGAAAATTTGAAGGGGGGGGGTGCAAATCGAAATCTTGAGGGGGTGCAAATCGAAAGTTTGTCCCCGGGCGCCGGGAAGGGTCGCTACGCCTCTGCACCCCTTATGGGACGCGTCACGATTTAAATCATTCTTTTTATGTCGGTAGACAATATTTTTCAATGAGACAACATGTTTTTATGAAATTTTCTTTTTGTTTTAGGTTCATTCCCCCCCCCTTCTCACTAAATAAATGGAAAGCCGTCTGCTAGCAAGCTGGCGTCTCTAGCTTCTCAAAATGCCAGCCGGCCGTTGGGCATCTTCACCACGTCGGCCATTTTGTTGGTAGAACAGAACGCTTCCAACACCAGCATGGCCGAACAGGCCGCAGCGGAAGTTGATCTCCACGCGGTACCCCAGTACCAGCCGACACACATCCAGCTCGCGCTCTTGTTGTCGTATGCTACAGTCTTGACGGTGTGGCTGTTCCGTCTGGCCTTGTCCGTCTCTAATGGAAAATTTTTTACCAGATGCCGAGTAAAGCATCCATCTGTCAACCACACAAACCACGTGACTTTGGATATCCAACAGCAGAACTCTGGGATTTCTGCGGCAGTCGAGAACGAGCCGTTGCTGAACTCATCAAACGAGAGCCACGAGCACCCAGTCAGCCTAGAGGAAGATCCGGGCACGGTGCTACATCGTGGTGACGTCACTGCCTCAAAACAGAACAAACATCACCCCGCGCGTGAACACAAGAACAATGAGGTCAAAGTTCAAGGTCCCCCAGAAGTCACTTTTGATAAGTGCATCTGGTCTCTGGTCCTCTTTGGTTCAATCATGATCTACTTCTATCTATGTGACTATAGGAAGGTGAGAAATGTTTTTTTATTTGAAAAAAGTACCCGCCTTATTGAATTTTTTTCTTTAACCTTGATACTGAATTTGAGGTAGGCCTATTGTTATAATAACGTACCCTGTAATTGTGAGTAATTTTTTAAATTATATATTTAATACCACCATGTTTTTTTTAGGGTTAGCTTGAGGTCAAACACGAACTTTTGCCAGTCTCTGGGTCCACCCACACACCCAGCTGTCCCTGGGTCCACCCACACACCCAGCTGTCCCTGGGTCCACCCACACACCCAGCTGTCCCTGGGTCCACCCACACACCCAGCTGTCCCTGGGTCCACCCACACACCCAGCTGTCCCTGGGTCCACCCACACACCCAGCTGTCCCTGGGTCCACCCACACACCCAGCTGTCCCTGGGTCCACCCACACATCCAGCTGTCCCTGGGTCCACCCACACACCCAGCTGTCCCTGGGTTCACCCACACATCCAGCTGTCCCTGGGTCCACCCACACACCCAGCTGTCCCTGGGTCCACCCCACACTCAGCTGTCCCTGGGTCCACCCACACACCCACCTGTCCCTGGGTCCACCCACACACCCAGCTGTCCCTGGGTCCACCCACACACCCACCTGTCCCTGGGTCCACCCACACACCCAGCTGTCCCTGGGTCCACCCACACACCCACCTGTCCCTGGGTCCACCCACACACCCACCTGTCCCTGGGTCCACCCACACACCCAGCTGTCCCTGGGTCCACCCCCACACCCAGCTGTCCCTGGGTCCACCCCCACACCCACCTGTCCCTGGGTCCACCCACACACCCAGCTGTCCCTGGGTCCACCCACACACCCACCTGTCCCTGGGTCCACCCACACACCCACCTGTCCCTGGGTCCACCCACACACCCACCTGTCCCTGGGTCCACCCACACACCCAGCTGTCCCTGGGTCCACCCACACACCCACCTGTCCCTGGGTCCACCCACACACCCACCTGTCCCTGGGTCCACCCACACACCCAGCTGTCCCTGGGTCCACCCACACACCCAGCTGTCCCTGGGTCCACCCACACACCCAGCTGTCCCTGGGTCCACCCACACACCCAGCTGTCCCTGGGTCCACCCCCACACCCAGCTGTCCCTGGGTCCACCCCCACACCCAGCTGTCCCTGGGTCCACCCACACACCCAGCTGTCCCTGGGTCCACCCACACACCCACCTGTCCCTGGGTCCACCCACACACCCACCTGTCCCTGGGTCCACCCACACATCCAGCTGTCCCTGGGTCCACCCCCACACCCAGCTGTCCCTGGGTCCACCCACACACCCAGCTGTCCCTGGGTCCACCCACACACCCAGCTGTCCCTGGGTCCACCCACACACCCACCTGTCCCTGGGTCCACCCACACACCCAGCTGTCCCTGGGTCCACCCACACACCCAGCTGTCCCTGGGTCCACCCACACACCCACCTGTCCCTGGGTCCACCCACACACCCAGCTGTCCCTGGGTCCACACCCAGCTGTCCCTGGGTCCACCCACACACCCAGCTGTCCCTGGGTCCACCCCCACACCCAGCTGTCCCTGGGTCCACCCCCACACCCAGCTGTCCCTGGGTTCATCCAGCTCTAATTGGTACCTGACTTACATTGGGGGAAGTAAAGGCACTATCTTTTTACATGCCAAGGTCACAGAAACAGATGAACTCTACTTCATCGGTCCAAAAGGATAACAACTTAGTTAAAAAATAAACTGTATAAGGTGCCTTGTATGTCATACTGTGGAACAGTGTTTCTTCCAGACTTTTTTCTCCGGGGGGGCACTTGAAATCTTCGGGGGGGCGGTAAACTTTCTTCGGGGGGGGCGGACACTGTTAAAAGTATATATTTTCTATATAAATTATATAAATTTTATTTCGTTCGGGGGGGCGGTAAAAATTTTTCGGGGGGGCAAAGCCCCCCCGAAGAGATGCCTGGAAGAAACTCTGCTGTGGAACAACTGTAAGATGCCTTGTATGCCATGACGAGTGTTTAACACAACCTATTGGACCCAAACATTTTGCCTTTGTATCCCCAGATTTTTCCTCAGGGTGAGAGGCACTACTCGAGAGACAGTTTCCTTTTCCTTGTCTTCTTGTTTTTTCTTGTTGCATTGGGTTTCACCATCAAGCCCAACACAGATAAAATCCTTAACAGGTAAACACATCATATCAGTACATTTGATACAGGTAAAAATATAACACAACTCCAATACAGATTACAGGTAAAACAGGTAAAAATATAACATAACACCAATACAGATGACAGGTAAAACAGGTAAAAATATAACATAACACCAATACAGATGACAGGTAAAACAGGTAAAAATATAACATAACACCAATACAGATGACAGGTAAAACAGGTAAAAATATAACATAACACCAATACAGATGACAGGTAAAACAGGTAAAAATATAACATAACACCAATACAGATGACAGGTAAAACAGGTAAAAATATAACATAACACCAATACAAATAACAGGTAAAAATATAACATAACACCAATATAGATGATACAGGTAAAAATATAACAACATCAACACAGATGACAGGTAAAACAGGTAAAAATATAATACAACACCAATACAGAAGATACAGGTAAAAATATTACATAACATTAATACAGATGACACAGGTACAAACATAACGTAGCATCAGTCCAGGTAGCATTATGGTTTTGAATTAGCTGTTGTAATTTGTTTAGTATTCTTTAGTTTAAGAACACCAAAACTCAGTTCTTGATGGTTTTGAATTAGCTGATATAGTTTGTTTAGTATTCTTTAGTTTAAGAACACCAAAACTCAGTTCTTGATGGTTTTGAATTAGCTGATATAGTTTGTTTAGTATTCTTTAGTTTAAGAACACCAAAACTCAGTTCTTGATGGTTTTGAATTAGCTGATATAGTTTGTTTAGTATTCTTTAGTTTAAGAACACCAAAACTCAGTTCTTGATGGTTTTGAATTAGCTGATATAGTTTGTTTAGTATTCTTTAGTTTAAGAACACCAAAACTCAGTTCTTGATGGTTTTGAATTAGCTGATATAGTTTGTTTAGTATTCTTTAGTTTAAGAACACCAAAACTCAGTTCTTGATGTCCATCAACCACAGGGAACAAACAGAAGAATGGAAAGGCTGGATGCAAGTGATGTTTGTCTGGTATCATTACTTCAAGGCAAAAGAGTGGTACAACTGGATTCGGATCTACATTGCTTGCTATGTGTGGATGACTGGCTTTGGTATGGGAATATTTTTTTTTTAATATTCTTGAGAATCTAATTGTGCTTTACTTCACACCATTAGTTGATTTAATCAACAGTTCAATAATTAATTAGTTGTTAAAATCTGCAGCTGTACGAATTGTAAAATTAAATGCAGAAAAGTGTGAAAAGTTGCACTGCATTTCACATGAGGTATCCTTGTATTGAGCATCACATACTTTGGCTTCTGCTGCAGCGGGTCAAGGTTTTTCAAAGAGCAGGGGGTGTACTGATATATACTCCCTAACCCTCCATCTGTCCTTAAAGTTTAGTCAGTACTTCAATAAGCTTGTAGCCTGTACTAAAGTATTACATACATTTTATTTTTCCTAAACAGGTAATTTTTCCTTCTTCTGGATAAGAAGTGACTACTCAATGTGGAGGATGCTAAAAATGTTATTCAGGCTGAACTTTCTTGTTGTTTTTGTCGCCATGACAACCAACAATGCGTACATGTTGTACTACATTTGTGCCATGCACACCTATTGGTTCTTGTCTGTCTACGTCTTCATGCGCGTGCTCAAATCTTGGAATCGAGACAGGAACCTTATGGCTGTCAAATTTGTGGCCTACGCCATCTTCAATGCTCTCATATTTGAGATCCCGGGTGCCAGTCAGCTTGTGTTTCGTCCTTTTCAGTTTGTGCTAGGACTTGAGGACAATACAGGGGACATTATGCATGAATGGTCGTTCCGTGCAGGTCTCGACCACTGGGCCTGTTTCTTTGGCATGCTGTGTGCTTACAACTATCCCCACTTTGAGGCACTAATGCTATATTTAGAAACCAAATCAATAAACAGAAATGAATACTTTAAAAAACTGTGTATACGTCTGCTAATGGGTATTGTCTGTCTGGCTTTGGGCATCACGTGGTACTTCCTGTTTATGCAGAAGGACAAGTTTGAATACAACGCCACTCATCCATACACCTCACTACTGGCCATCTTTGTCTACATTATTCTAAGGAACATCCACCCAGTTCTTCGATCTTATCACTTGCACATGTTTGCTTGGCTCGGTAGGTCTTATTTTATAAACACATTAATAGCTTCTACAGGTAGTTATTTATAAACACTTTCAAATGTTACATAGGATGGGCTTAATATATTTTTCTAATTTTTATAAAAAATTTTAGAACTGGAGTAAAAATTTGCATTCACATGTAATGAATCATTGATTGTATGTTTCAGGAAAAATAACTCTGGAAACCTATTTGTCTCAGCTGCACATTTACCTGCTGTCCAATGCCAGAACTCTGCTGGTGTTTCTGGACGGCTACCCCCTGCTCAACTTCTCCCTGGCAACCATCACCTACCTGGCTGTGTCACACACCCTCTTCAACATCACCAATGACTGCAGCAACTACTTCCTACCCAAGGATGACACCAGGCTCATGATCAACATCACTTGTGTTGTTTCAGTTTTTGTCCTCTCCTATTTAGCTGCTTTTGCTTGGTTTCTTTAAACTAAGATGGGAGGGGGGGGGGGGAGATATGTCTCATAGCAAATAATGTCAAATCTTTAAGCAGGATTTATGAAAATTAATTAACAATAATTTATCACAATGTCAACATTAACTGTAGAATATTCAGGGAACTTCCAATTTTATGGTGCTAAGATATATTTCCCCTTTGTTTAACACTTATTTTTATATTAATGACAAATTATTCTGTCACAGCACATGAGAGTAATTCTGAGTTTGATTTGTCAAATGTTTCCAAAAAAGGGATGCAATTTATTATCACTATGATAAATTTGGTGTAAAAGCCTCTGTTGTTATTTTTTAAATTGATATCACATATAAATGTTGTGTAAATAGGTGGGTTTAAGTTGTTGTCAAATGGTTTCAAGGTGATTTGTTTCTTACTGTGATAATGTTTACATTCAATGACCACATTGATCTCCCTTGATCTGGATATACAGGCACTGCTTGTGAGAATGATTGTAGTATGTGCAACTGGTGAAAACGTGTAGAACTTTGTTTTGTGAAGGATGCATTAGTACTTTTGTTTAGTGTTCTATACTTCCAACCAACACATATAAAGCCACATTAATTATGAATGTTTAGGTCAGTGCCAGACATCTACATGTAGCACTGATATTTGTTCCCCTTGCTGCAGTGGCTACTTTAAAACACAGACACCTGTTACATGGATAGCATTGTTGCAAAATTTTTGTAATTTTTAAAAACCTTTTTTACCCAAATGGGTTCATTGCTAAAAAATTTTACCCATTTCAGCCTTTGAACCAATGATGTCATACTAGCACTGCTTAAAGTGCATTATGTCAGAGATCAAAACAAAGTAGTGAGTCTGTTGTGGGATTGTGTTGTTTTACACACTGCTGTTTTTAATATCTTCTTGTGTTGCAAGGAAATATTTTATAACTTTTGTACATGTTTATTCTTGTTATTTTATTGTTATTTTCCTCAAATTTATGTCTGAAAAAAGACACAAAGCAATTATTTATTAAATGGGGCTCAGTGACAGAAGTAAATATGGGGCTTTAAGATAGCTCTGTATGAGGTTGTTATTGCTATCAGTTAACTGACAAATAAACCAGTGTTACGATATTTAAAGATTATTTATGCACACTATGTGGTATTTGTAAATATGAGGGTATTTTTAACTTCAAAATGTTTTTTTAAAAATAAATTTTGGTGAAAATATTTCTTTTGATGCCTGATTATTTTATTAGTTATTACTAATTACTAAACTACTCGTTAAATTTAAAATAAATATTTTACAGTACATGTAAGATATGCAAGAAAGACAGTATAAAGCCAACTAGTTTTTGATAAACTATGACACTCTGTATCAGTATCATAATATCAGGTACCAACCAAACGCCACCCCTACCACTTCACATTCTCATTCTGTTATACAACTGTCACAATTTTGGGCTATACTAAATGTCGTTTTTTAAAAGACAAGCACTTCACCAGGCAATATTTATTAATGTAAATAAAATAGTTATCACATGATATCAGTCACATCAAACAATGCATTAGATTTTTCTATTCAAATCATATGTACGTTTTTTCTATGAAAAACATTCAAAACATATTGCCTAAATGCTCAGCTTGTTTTCCTTCAATGTAATAGCTAATACAGAATTCACACATATCACTATGTAAAAAATACAAAAGAGTGTAAAAAATACAAAAATAACCAAAACATAAATTTTGTATTGTAAAAGATTCACATTTTAAAGTTGATTTTGATTTCCGTGGGGAGATGTTTAAAAAGTTAAACCTTCAACTTTATTCTGTTGTATCTTGTAGAAAATGTGTTTCCAAGAGCTATAGTCTAAATTAATCCAAACTATAAGGTATAATAGAATCCTATAAAAAAGCATTACAATTGTAAAAGTCATTTTAAAAAATGATGCAGTAAATTTACACCATATATATTTAGATGATATAAACATTTCAATGTTAATTAAACATTTGTTTTGTCTTAGCTTTAGTCTACATCAACAAATCAGTGTAGCTGTTTAATGTACATTTAAAATGAGGTCTTAGCTTTTATCCAAACCATATCTACAGATCAGTTCAGCTGAAGCTTGAACTTAAGCCCTGGAGCTGCCTTATAATGAAATGTTCCTGTCCATATTTGCCCTTCTGTATCATGATATTCCCCTTCTCCTTCCAACCTAGTAAAAACAAGAAATCACTTTAAACACAATAAGCTAATACTGCATTGTTTTCTGGAAATAGCGTAAGGAGGAAAATTCATAAACTCTAAAATAATACCCTACATTTCATCAGATCATATAACAAACTACCATTACAGTTTGGTCTAATCATACTAAGTTTGCTGTCTTTAAAAAAAAGACTTTTTTACATTAATATCCTAAAACAGACTGGCTAGGTAAAAAAAACTTGATCATTTTAAAAATTAAAAGTGACCCATATCTAGTTTCTTTTTATATTTTAATTAATGGAGCTTAATTAACCTTGGTTAATTGATCAATTTTAAAAACAGTACCGTGGAGAAAAATTATTTCATTTAATTTTTTAAAAGCGGAAATTCTAAAAATGTACTTACGAGTTAACTCTAAGACTAGAATTCAAGTATAGTTTATGTGGATAACTAGAATTAATGCTGAGTTCAAGTATTCTTTGACAGATGCTATAAAAGTATCAAATGACAAAAAAAATTCTGTCTTGTGTTAAATAGGAAAGTATGAAATATACTTCTTCATAATTCTAAAAAAGCTTTCAAAAACATTTGTATAAATTATTTAAAAGACAATAATTTTGTATCTGTTTACCTATTTTCCACAAAATTTCCCTCATAGTATGACCCATTTGACCAAGTATATTTTCCAAAACCATGAAATTGGTTGTTTACAAATTCTCCCTCATACGATGCATTAGATGGGTGGGTGAGTTTTCCTTTTCCATTCATACAGTCATTCTTCCAAGAACCTTGATATATAATACCAGATGAGCTTATATGTGTTCCTTGTCCGCTTCTTTCAATGGAACCCAAATCTGTCTGCGTACATTCACCCTCTAATAACAGTTTTTTATTTTAAAAATTTTAATATAAACATCAAAATATATTTTTTTAATATAAGAATACAATTTTCTAATATAGAAATATTATTTTCTAATATAAAAGACAAAATCTTATACTAAAAATTGTAGGATAAATAATAAATAAATGAATATATATATATATAGCCTATATATATATATATATATATATATATATATATATATATATATATATATATATATATATATATATATATATATATATATATATATATACATATATATCTTATTTACTTACCATAACGATCTCCATTTGGAAAAATATAAACACATGTTGAATTATCTAACGATACTTCTGGTTTTTCTTTCTTTTTATCTTTCTTCTCACCTAACAAATAATAAATTCAAAAGTTAAAATGTTGAAATAAATAAATTATAATATGTGACTAATCTTACTGGGTATTTTTACTTTATAACTTTCTGGCCTAGATATCATCATTAAAAAAAATTTAGTTTAAAAATGTATTAGCATCTGCAAAGTTTGCTGTGAAATTAAATTATTAATATTAAAGCTTATCAACACAGAAATTTTATATTTTAAAAGGTTATTTTAAAAAGTTTTCATTCACAGATAACATAAAAACATGATTTTACTCTCAGAGTCGACATGTCTGTTTAATTTTGAACACCTGACCATAACCTTGACATTCTTTGGTAGTTATGTTAGTCAGGCCCACTTCTCTATGTTACTATTTATATATAGAAAATATATATTTAAATTACATTGCCATGTTTTGCAATGACAGAAACCAAACTGTTTTAGCCTTTTCTTTCCTGATTTTGTTTAGACACCAAAAATATAAATCAGATATCACGTTTTTCTTATCAAGCAAGCTATAATAACATTGAACATGATTTTTAAAATATTCAATCGCCGTTCAAGAGTCCAAAACATTTGTTGTTATTCACTGAATTGTGATCAATAATCAACTAGCAATGCAAATCAGGGCTTTACTCTATACTATAAACTATGTTTAGCACAATATTAATCTTTAGAAATATTGAAATTATTTTGTTTAAACAACTGTGCTTAGATTCAATAGCTATTATCAAATGGATATCAAGGGGAATATCAAGCAGTTTTTCTTTTAGACATTTTCCTCCAGGGGGGGTGGAACATATTTTGGTAATCTATCGTTTTGGGTACGTAAAATCGCCCGCGGCTATTTATGTACGAAAACGTTACCTCATTGTCAAGGCTTTAATAGAATTATATTGTCATATGTTTGTGTCAAATATTATAGATAAATGAATAATAAACCTAAATCAATGGCTAAATATATCGATATAGGCCAGAAATTAACTTTAAATACTATTAAATAGCAGTGTTTGCGAGCAAGATTTGCTATATAAACAGCAGCCATTTGTAAAATAGAGTGGCTTCCCCCTGAATCTGGCGCTAAAAGCTTATGAAAATAAAACTTAGACAAGATGGCTGCTGTAGTAAATGAGCATGGTTGCATCTGTTGGAAACATCGCTAGTCTTCATTAATTACGGAAAAGTTTTAATTCAATTGTTTAAAAACAGGTACATAAATGAATCAAGGAAACATTTTTGAATTTTTTAAAACATAAATCCTCCTCAAAATGTGAAATAATTATTAAAATTTAAGGAGTCACCTGTTTTTCACATTACAAATCGCGGGCGATTTTACGTACCCAAAACGATAGATTACCCATATTTTTAATTAATTGTTTCTATTTTTGGGATAGGAGCTAACCCCACAACCTGAAAGCCTGAAAGGATACCTGAAAGAAATTCTGATAGCTAAGAATAGTAAGAAGAAGATCTAGTAAGAAGCAAAGACCTAGACGCGATCTAGATCTACTTACTTTTGTACCTGAGGAGGTATGAGATATGTTACATTTTAAATACTTTCTTATTTTTCTACTTTCCTCTTAATTCTACAACCTACAATTCTTACTAGTAATACTATAGATTTCTCTAGGCTATTATAGTAACATAGTTTACTTACTACTACTACTACTACTAGTCTACTAGACTACAGTGTGTACACCACGCACACATCAGATAACACTAGATCTATAATATAACTATAACTAACTACTACTACTACCGCTACTAAATAACTAATTTATATATATATAATAAAACAAACCTCCCATCTTGATACATAGAACAGCTAATCAAATTTAATTCAAAGTATTAATTAAATCTTGTACTTAAAATTTTAATTTCTATTTATGGCCCCAAAATAATACAACTCTCATCGCCATTTGTAAACGGTGCTATGGCAATATTTGCCAGATTTTTGTGCATAAAATAAAATTCGACAATAATTAAGCGTGCTTACTTATCAAATATAAATGTACAAATGCAAAGCGTAGACCCGGCATTAATACTATAATTTACTTAGAAAAAAAAATCAAACAGTTACACTTTTAGTAAAGTCGTAATGATGGAAGGTTTTTTTAACAAAATTATCAACATTTGGCTTATAGAAAGTTCGATTTAACTAATAATATATAGGTTAAAACACAATTTTGACTGTGCTGTTTGTCTACGTCTTATTATTAATGATTCATTTCATTCTTAATGCTTTATAAAGGTTAAAAGTAATAAATAAAAAACAATGAGGGTTTTTTAATAATATAAATCAACTAAATTGTTAGCATAATTTTAGCCAAATTTTTATTTTCCAAACATATTTAGTATCGATATTAACAATTTACTCGATTACAGCTAACTGTACGAAATGTCTTCACGCAAAAAAAAAAATTCTGCAATTCTTAACTGATAGTGATAACTATAAATAAGGAGGAACACCTTTGCATAAATTAGTTTAGTTCTAGATATAAGGACTAATTGTTTAACAAATAAAACGTAATTTTAAAAAAATGGCTATAAAAGGACTAATTATATAACAAATAAAAGCATTTATATCATCATGATAACCAACCTTAAAACAAAAGCAATGACAAGAAAAGAACAGTTGTACATTTTCTTTAGCTATGGTAAAAGGTCCCTAATAAAAACGACCTCACACTCTAAAGGGGTGGTCGCACTTTTGCGACGGTGGCGAAAATGTGGGTTTATCAGCACGTGTGATGTAACACATAATCTTTGTAAAAGGTATTCTTTTTAAGAAGAGATTTTCTTCTTTGCATCGTGTAAACTGTAATAAAAATGTACCATGTTGCCTATTCATTCTTTCTAAGGTGATATTTCATTAGTCGACCCCTATCATGACTACCGGGTCGTCAATAACTGACGTCACACTCGTAAGGGGAGGGGTCCCTAATTCTGTGACGATGTGTGATGAGGGGGAAGGGGGTACAGATATCGTGACGTCGCATTTTAGCACTTTTTTTTAAACGTTAGCTAAAAACGGAATTTCAGACGTAACGTCGTGTTTTAGAAAAATGTTTTAATCAATTGTTACAGAAATTGATTGGTCGATTTAACGTCGCTAATATCTCCTTATAAAATCTCCCTGCTTGAAATAGACTATTATATAATATGCTTAATGTTATATGTTCAAATGAAGACGAGTGATGAAATAGTTGATAGAAGTGATTATGCAGTGAGATCGTCTTGCAAACATACTCAGTAAAAATTGATGACAATATTCTTTATAATTTCCGTTCGGCATCTGTTTGGTTACTATTTTATGTTGTGTGTGTGTGCTTCATTTCATTGCAAACTTTTAGAACGATGCCCACAGTTTTCGGTGGAGGGGGCGGGAGTAATTTAAATTTCCGGGGTATGGACACCGGTTAAGGTATATATTTTTTAAAAGGAATAATATATTTTCCTATTTCGTCAGGAGGGGGGGGGGGGCAGTGGACGTGCTGATTAACATTCTGATTAAATTCAACATCTGATTTCTGACATGACCTGCTTTTTAAAAACACAGATCGAAGCAGTGTAGCAGTATTTCTTCCGGATTTTTTCTTCTCGGGGGGGGGGGGGGGTAGAGTCCCGTCCCCCCCCCCCCCCCCCTCGAAGAGATGCCTGGAGGAAACTCTGGATCGAAGTGATAAATTTGCATACAGTGTTGGGGCAATCACTCATAGATTATACAAATTTACACTACCTTAATTACATTTACTTAGAGCAGTTCGGGCCAAAAAATTTAAACTTAAGTTATCCTGTTAAAGATTTTTATCTTTGTAAATAATCTCAGTGGTGCATTGGCGAATTTCACGGTTTTTTTTACATTACTCATCGGGACCTAGGATATTGAGTTTAAATAATCGTGTTCATAAATGAATTCGATACTATTACTCGATACTTTTTTTTTCCTCAACCAATTTGCCTGTGTTGTATTGACCTTGCTTTTTGTATACGATTTCTCTACCACAGGAGAAACATAGCCATGTTTCGCTCTCACACTTTGTTACGTAGTTTAATTCGACAAAAACCTAGAACAACTTCGCAAGGCCTAGCCAGTTCTAGTTCATGTGTTTGTAGCTCTAGTAATAGTTTTCAACACTGCAATTTAATAAAGAGGTAAGCGGTCTGTCGACTTCAAATGTGTGTGTTCATCAACTTTTCTGTAGTTAACAGTGCTACTGACTACACACCACTCCAGTACATTTACACAGGTGTAACTAACTAACAGTAGAATATTACAGTACTACTCAATCTACTGTGCTAGACTATTTCTAGACAAGATCTAAATTTTCTGTATTGTAGACTATTACAATCTGATCTAGATTCTAGATCTACCGGTTTGACTTGACTTTTGTGTTTTTCATGAATCTGAAATTGTCAGTCCAGTCAGTGTGTGTTGAGCCTGTTTGAGTGAAACTTTTACAAAGATATGTTATCTAGATCTAGATTCTAGGTCTAAGTATTAACTTAGACTAGTAACTAGATCTAGATCTAAATCTAGTTACTAACTTAAGTAACTATATTACTATCTGGAACTATTTATTAGTATTTACTACTATTTACTGATCTGTCAGTGTCACTGTTAAGAAATTCTGTGCAGATAGGGCCAATAAAAAGTAAATAAGGAGTAGGGCCTATTATTATGCTGGCCTAGGGACCTAGCTGGATAGATGTATGTAGTAAATACTCACTTAGGACACTAAGCTGCTAACGATACCAAGTAGGCCTATAATTTTAGCACCTGTACATTATTAATGATTTTTACTAATCCAAGTATGTTCTAATTAATAATGCAAAAATATTCTAAAGCATCTTACACAATAAAAAAAATTATATTAAATGTTACTAAATTTACTTTAAGTTGGTCTAATTTAGCATTTATAGCCATACTATCATACCCCAAAATCAGCATTTGGGGCAAATGTAGCCTGGCTATGGGGCATTAAACTTTCTCTCCCAGTTTAGACTTTTAACTCCACAATAAAAATCATTAGTTTCTAACCCCAAACTAGTTAATGCTGTGTACACACACACTAAATGATACCAGCTATCAATGGGCCCCATTGGACTCAGTCCACAATTTATACAGTTGTAGGTCTATATAGGGCCTACATTCTAGTACTTTAAGGTAGGCATATTAGTAAACCTAGTTAAGATTCTTGCTTGTAAAAAGGGGTAGTACTAATCTGCCTTGATGTTTTCCCCTGATAAGCCATGTGTGCTATACATTACATAACATGACATGGAGGTGAGAAATGTTGAGGGGAGAGCATCTGTACTGATTTCCCCTATGTTCTTCCCGCTGGACCCTTAGGGTCATAAATTACATAAGAGATGCTATCTCTGGTTGGTTGAGATCTAATCTAAGAGCAGCAATCCATGTTACCTACAAAGGGATTAAGTTGCGTGGTGATTACATAATGGTTTTAAGGAGGGTAGGTCTACTGATGCCTGCTGGACCATGATGGTCATATATGACATAACATGCCATCTCTGATTGGCTAATATATAAGACCAGTCATCTATGTTACCAACAAAAAGTTCATTAAATCCAATCCCTATAGTATCACCTACACTGGGTATGCCTAGCTTGCATGTGAATACCACTAAATCAGCCTCTTAAGTTACTGCTAATAGTCTTAAAATGTATTCTTAAATATAGATCTAGTATTGTTAAGGTAAAATAAATTTCCTGTTTATTAGAAATCTGTTGCTACTCCATCCTTAAACCTAAATATAAATGTAAAACCTGTAAACTAATTTTCCTCCATTATTGGTTCCTCTGCAACAGACAATATTCAAAAACCTCAATAACATAGTAGGCTATATATTACATTCACAATAATGTCCTGACACTGTTTTTTTTAAAAGTTCACATTAGTTAGTGGTTATAGGGCTACCAAAATGAAAATGTTCTTTCCAATACCTGGTAATGTTTTATAATTATTAATAATTAGCATATTTACTTTTCCAACGCACTTGCTACACACGATAATAATGAGATAAAGATTTCATTGGCCAAGAGAAAGACTTAAGTTTTTATATTTTCTAGATGTGGTGTAGCATTTTATTTGCAGTTTGAAACAGAAACATATTAATGCTGTTTTAATCTCTTCACTTTAGGTCAAAAACTTCATTATTTTCTTTACAAGATGGAGTTACCAATAGTCATGGAGAATATAAATCCTCTAGGAGGTATTATAGTTCAGGTTTGTGTGATTAATTTTTGTGTGTGTAAATATAGTTTATTTGTGCAGAATAGTAAATCTCTAGTTTAACTACTATCTAAATAGACATTGTTGTGTTGTAAATAGTTGTCCTTATCAAAACTGTATGAGATGTAGCATTACTTGGGGAGGTTGCAGGGTGATCAAATTTATTTTCAAGAAATGAATCTTGTAATTAGTAAATGTTTTATGTCTTTCTTGTCAGGTTGTGAAAGATTTATGTAGTGGAGGTTATCACATTTTCAAAGTTATTTTATTTGTATTAAACAACTATTTTGACTTCTTAGGTAACTACCCAAAACATGTTAAAATTGTTCTACCTGCACTTTCACCAACAATGGAATCCGGTACAATTGTGTCATGGCAAAAAAAGGAAGGAGACAAAGTGTCTGAGGGTGACTTGCTAGCAGACATTGAGACGGATAAAGCAACCATGGGATTTGAATCAGGTGATGAGGGATATCTGGCCAAAATATTTGTACCAGAAGGAAGCAAAGATGTACCACTGGGCAAGGTAAATATTATTTCTTAAGAATGTATCTTAGTTTTATACTAATACATTTCACTTTTTGAAGCAACACAAAAGTGCTGGTAAATTCTAGCTAGTTTTGCTCACTTCTACTCTGTATATCTTTGCAGCTGTTGTGCATTATCGTAAGCTCAGAATCTGATGTCGCTGCATTTAAAGACTATGTTCCCAGCCCTTCGGATGATCAGCCACCTCCTGCTGGAAAAACAGCTGCCCCTCAGCCAGCACCTCCTGTGGCCAAGGCAACACCACCACCTCCAGCTCCCCAAACACCATCTCCTGCAAGGTCTACCCCCTCTGCCCCTGCTGCGTCAGCAACAGTTGCTGCCCCTGGATCAAGGGTGTTTGCCACACCCTTAGCAAGAACTTTGGCTGAAGAAAAGGGGATAGATCTTAAAGTAGGCCAGTTTTATTGTTCATTACAAATTAGATTTTTATTTTAATGAAAAAGCTTAAACCTTTACAAAAAGTAAAATATCTATTAACTTTTTGTATATTTCTTTATTTACATATTATATGGAGGTTTTTTAAAAGAATTATTCATTTAAAAAAAATTATTGATTACATTTATCTGTGTGTGTTTCAGAATATTGTTGGTAGTGGTCCTGATGGACAGATTCGTGCAAATGATGTTTTGTCAGCCAAACCAGGTGTAGCAGAACCCAGTTTGTCTGTAGCTATGCCTTCAAGCTCAACAAGTTTCACTGATATTCCTTTAAGTAACATGAGACAGGTAAGTTATAAAACATACTTTTCTTTACCTAGTTAGCTGTTCATTGTACACTGTTTATAAATGTTTTAAAAATATTTTTTTCAGGTTATAGCTAAACGTTTAACATTATCAAAACAGACAATACCACATTACTACCTAAATACTGAAATTAATGTGGACAAAATTCTTAGGTTTGTTACATTTGTCATATTTTATATTCACTTAGTATCTAGAACATTTTAAATTAACACATTTATATTTTTATATTTGTAACTTTGATTCATACTTGTTACCATTTCACTGCTAGTTTTTCTTTCTGTTCAGCATTAGGAAAGATTTGAATGCCACATTGGAAAAGAGAAAGATGAACAAAATTTCTGTAAACGATTTTATTATTAAAGCAGCTGCATTAGCGTGTCAAAAAGTTCCTGAGGCTAATTCAGCCTGGATGGGTGATTTCATAAGAAGGTTGCTTTTTAAAAACTTAAAAAAATATCTCATTTTGGCTATACTTTTTTAACATCTATTTCTGAAAGAAACTATGGTTTTAAAGAGTAGTTTTTTAAAATTAAGTGTTCAATTTGTAGCTAATATGTTGTAATGGTTACAAGAGTTATTGAAACCTTTACAGATATAACACAATGGACATCAATGTTGCTGTTGCTACAGACAAAGGTCTTATTACACCAATTGTTTTTAATGCAGAGAAAAAGGTAAAGTTTGTATATTGTTGCAGATATAAAGTTGGTGGGATTTGTTAATGAATACAATAGTTTAATTGTGGTGCTGACTTACTTCCAGGGACTTTCACAAATAGCTCAAGATGTAGCAGCCTTGGCTGCCAAAGCTAGAGAGGGAAAACTTCAACCTCAAGAATATCAGGTCATTTTTTTTTAATTGATCATTTTTTGTATCATTTAAGTATGTATCTTTAGGATTTTAGTCAACCACTTTTAATTCACATATACCCTAGCAGGAAAATAGTCATGGTTTATTATGTCAGGGTAAAATCATTAAAAATACTGACACCTTTACTATTTTTATTTTAATAAAAAAATTACAAAAACTCATCACTGCATCTACTTACTTTTTTATATCGCATTTACTATTTATGTAACGTTTGTAACATGTCTCATTTTCAGAGGCATTTTAATTAGCTATAGTTTCACTAATTATTGCCTTCGTTATTTTTAAAAATTAGTATAAAAAAAATTGACTGCTAATGAAAGAATAGGAAAAAATGTAAATGAAATTTACTGCCAGTTAGACTAGCATTATATGGAAATCAAAGTAATGTGCACTGTTCAGGCACATGGGACAGTACCAGATATGGAAAATGTTAGGCACATTCTGGCACATAGTACAGTAAAGTATAATGGACTCAAATACATTATTTTTTTCAGGGTGGCACATTTACCATTTCAAATCTTGGCATGTTTGGTATCAAGAACTTTGCTGCTGTGATTAACCCTCCACAGGTAATCTGATCCAGAATTAAAATTAATTGTATTAATATCATTAATTTTAATTGGTAACAATTTTTGTGACATTTCTTTTTCAATCCCAAATATTTGATTTGGTTACAATCTGTGACTTCATATATTTGTAGGCATGTATTTTAGCAGTAGGGGGAGCTGAACAGAGAGTTGTTGTAGCTGATGGTGCTGTGGCAGATGGATCTCAACCTAAGTAAGTATTGAGATAAAATATTAGTGTTTATGAGGACAGGGAGGAGTTATTGAAATCTGTTGATAAAAAAAGTAATTTCAAGAACAATTTGTGAATAAAGAGGAAGTTATTGGAAAACAACAGTTATATATATAAAAAAAAATCAGGGAATTAATTTACGACACTACTAATTTAAGAGCTTTAGCAAAAGACTATTATTTATTTTAACTTGACACTCTTTAGTCAAGTCAGGCCCTCACTAATGTATCAGATTAACAAATCAATTCACTGAATAAATAGAAACTGCTGTAAAAATAAATGTAAAAGTTTTAAAAGATTCACAAAAAAAATGTTTTAGTAAGCCAATCCAAATTATCCTTAAATTTGGTGTATACCACCTTGCCAATATATGTGCCAACAGGCCTATTCCAAATGTAGCACACAAGCTTTCAAAATTAATGAAAAATTCTGTCAGTAGAGTTTGCTACTCAAATAAACAAGGGCCGTAATAATTTGCTAAATCATTTTTAATGAACTATTTAGTAAACAGAATAAGAAGAAATGGTGGTGGCAATCACCAGAACCTGTGCCCTCCTCCACTAGGTAAGACTTAGATGGGCTTATAATTGTTTGCACTTTAATTTTGCGTTTGAAATTGATGTTGTTACTTGTGTGCTTTATTGGAAATAAAGCTAGTAATGCACCTGTTGGCATTCTTTTTTAAATGATCTGGATTAGTTATCTGAACAGTAGTGTGTTTATTTATAAAACCAAGAATTAACTTTGATAACTTTTATATAGATTATCTTCTTAAGCAATTTTGTTACTGTATTTTTTTATCTTCAGATATATTTTACTTACTTTATTCTTAGATTTAAATATATTCTGTTATTAACACAAGGTGTTTAACTTGACCTAAGATCTGAATTGTTGATGGTATAATGAAATGATTGTGTTAAGAAAAATGCAATGTTCTTTATTCTTGCTTTCTACCCAGTCTGTGTAAACTTCACTGAAATTTAGGTTCTTTTCACGTTTATATTTGTATCATTTTTATCCTTTTCACTTTTATATATGTATCATTTTTATCAACTTTTTGTAAAAGCATTGTTGTACTGATGTTTTTCTTTTGTTGCTAAAAGCTTTGTCTAATATTTTATCAATGTTCTTTTTTTTAGTTCTACCACTAGAATGTAGACATTAAATCAACATTTTTAAAGCTCACAGTTTTCTTGTAATCATCATTACAAAGTTAACATTTGTGTACTATTCCAGGTTTTCTACTGCTCATATTATGACTGTGACACTCAGTTGTGATCACAGAGTTGTAGATGGTGCTGTTGGAGCACAATGGCTTGCTGAGTTCAAACAATTGATGGAGAAACCTGAATCAATGCTACTTTAAGGACATGTTTTAATTTAAAACAACTAACTATGAGTTACGTTCTCCACAGCTAACCATAGTCGTAAATATTAGATGACTAGTTTTCTTACTGTTACTGTCTTTGCAATTGTTATCTAAGAAAAAATAACATAAGAAACTGGACTTATTTGTTGAATTTGCTAGATTATTTTTTTCATTTATTGTAATCAATTCTATTTTATTAAATATTTGTACTGATTGTTAAAAGTATTTGAACTTAGTTTTGCTCAAAATTAATTTAACAGATCCTAGTACAGTTGAATTTTTAAAAGTTTTTAAACTGTCATCTCATTTTAGTATCAGTAAGTAAAGTTTGCATCTCAGGTTACAATCCTGAAGAAAGAAATAAAAGATTTCATTATACTTGTTGTGAATAAGGATTCTGTTGATTCATTATTCTGTTAAAAAATAGAATACCAACGTGCAACCAGAAAGCATGATCTATGTCACTTGAGCATGTATATATTCTAGATCTTCAGGAATGACCTATGCTAATTTGAATACTTGTAGTAGATCAAGTTGCTTGATATATTTTCTCTAAAAAAATATATATTTAGTTTGTTGTTAATTATGCAATAAACAAAAATTCAACTGTCCCCAATATACCTATAAAATTATTTAACAGTAGTTAAGATAATAGAAGGAATGTGCCGTAATACTCACTTGTTTTATGAAATTGAAAAAGTATACAAGTTCATGCATAGATTTATTTTTTGTGTGTGTAGAAGCTGTCAGGAAACTGTTGTGTGTTACACTGGATATTATTTCTTAATGTATCCAGTGGACAATGTGGTAAAGTAAAGCAGACATGGATATGAATGAATGGTAGATGCTCACCTTTATGATTTGGCAGGTTGTTTTTTTTTTTAAACTAAACATTTTACATTGTGTAGTCAAATTTTATGCATAAATTGGACAATATTTAAGAAATAAAACAATTGAAAATTTTATTTAAAAAACTTATAAATGATTTGGATTTGTTTTAAGAACCATTTTCATAACATGAATATCAGCACAACTGTAATGAGGATCTTGGGATGATTGTGGAATTTCATTCACCAAGCATCTGGAAAGGAAGAAGAAAAAAAGTCTTGAATTAAGGAATCTGCTTATTGGTTTTGTAAAAAGAAAAGAGAAGCAACAATAATTGGCACATAAAAATATTCTACTTACAAGTAAACATACAATGAAGAAAATATACTGCAAACACACCTTAAAAAATTTACACTGTAATTCAGCTTTAGTTTCTCTTTCTTCATAGGAACACAATACAGTAGTCTTAGCTTTGGCAAAGTGCAGGATTGTATCAACTAAACTCTCCACTGACTGTAATTTAAGTAGAATTAAAAGCCCTTTGATGTTTGAGGACTATTATAATAAATGTTCAGCTTATATTTAGAATCTATTATGTAGCAGCTGAAGCAAAAATAAGAAAATTACAGACCTCTTCATAGTAAACACAGTCTGCAAGTAGAATGCAATCAACTCCAGTAGGGAAATGAGCTTCATTGACATTTATCATCTGTTGCTGATCTCCCCATGAGACGACTGCTGCTTCACACGATCCCTTTAACTTCTCATTGTTTAAGGCTATATTGTGACTCATCAACGGTAACAGCTCCACAAGATCTGTAATCACTGCTTTAGACCTAAATATTAAATTCAACACTTGTTGAAAATGTGTACCACGCTAAGGAGAGTTTAGGCCTACTTATAATTTTTTATACCAATATCTTATAACAATGAATTTTTACAAATGGTTTACCCTAAGCAAGCAGCAGTTAATCCAACAGCTCCTGTTCCAGATCCTAATTCTAAAATATATTTACCCTCCCAACCCATTTCTTGTTGTTTTAAATCAATGTAACTACACAGTACTAATGCAGCGTCCCAAACAACACATCCTACATCTCCCAGTGATGACTGGGCGAATGTTAGTTCTGTTCCATCAGAAAGTTCAAAGTTGCGACAGAATAACAACTTCTCTTCAAGTTCTATTGATGTCATTCTTCTAAAGTAAAAAAATATCCATGGCATTAATCAGATCAAATTTACTAGATAAGAAGAACATTTGTATCCTACTTTCAATTTAGAATAGTTGGATGAATTTATAATTGACACAAACTGCCAGATATTCAATATTACTATACTAGGAACCAGGGGATAGTTACAAATACCAAGGGGTGGGTGGGTTAAGGGGTCATCCATAAATGACGTCACACTCATAGGGGGGAGGGGGGTCGGTAATTTTGTGAGGATGTGTGATGAGGGGGGGTCAGATAATGCGACGTCAGACTTTTGCTTTATACTTTATAGATAAGAAATGTTAGAAAACGAATTTAGACGTTATTTGGCATTTTAGAAAACAGTTTTAATAAATTATAATAGGAATTGATTAAAATACTCTATTTTGACATATTTCAGACAAGATTTTGGAAAAATATCGATGTTTAAAAAAAAATTCAACTGCAATTTTGAGGGGGTTTATGGGCTGAGGTGTGACGTCATTTTAGGGTGGGGGTCTGGCTTTTTGTGACGGAGGGGAGGGGGGGAGGTAAAAATCGTCAAAAAAGCGTGACATCATTTATGGATGACCCCTAACCCTTTAACTTAAGGTATTCAGGGTTGGGGAAAGCTAATATTATAATGCGACAACTGTTAAGTGTGGAGGACAGTATTCAGGAAAGTGAATGATAAGAATGGATGGAAATAAAGAAGTCAAAAAAATGTCACACTGATTCAGGGCCATTAGCTGAGCAAATAGAATGAACTGTTGTTAAAAGATTGGAGTGATGGACATTCACCTTGACAGAGAAAGCATGACTTGTTGACCATAGACATTAAAGTGGCCTAAATAAATCCTATAGAACCGAGGAACACGATAGAGTAGAATCTAGTTCTTAGAACAGCTCTTTTTTTTTAGGGCAAACCCCCAGTACAGCATAGGAAATTATCCGGCAATGTTTGTTGAGTTCCGTTAACATTTTAAAATTATAATTTAACTCCAAGAGTAGAATAAGAATAGAATCTACCGAATATACTACATACTACATATAGTTTTAAAATTTTTCATAATTCATGACTAATAAAAAAAGTCTAATAATAAATTAATATCCATGATGATTGATGATATCTACTCTAGATACTAGATAGATCTAGATCTAGTAGTTAATAGATAGTAAGGTAATCCCTTAGTTTAGCGTCGGTTATTATTCCGGAATCGTATAGCAGTAAAAAACAGTAAAACAATAACAAAGTCTGTCACACACTTCCGGAATTCACCGGAAGTACCGTAAACCATACTTTATTTGGCGTCTTCTTTTATTTTTAAACAGAATGTTTAAAATTTGGATAGATTTATTTTTGTAATCATTTTTACATTTTGTAATCATTTTTACTATTTTCGTAATCTAGATTTTTTTACTTGGCCTAGCAGCTAGATATCTAGCTAGATCTAGATTTAATTAATTAGGCCTAATGGTCGCAAATCCGCTGCAAGCCAAAAACATTAAATTATTACATTTGATACATTATTTATATTTATATATGTTTTTATTTTTAGATCTACTAATTTAAATCTACTATTATATTTATTCTTGTTTCCTTTTGTCGATTAAACTTAAAAAATTAAAACATTAATTTACTACAATCGACTTTCAATTTATTTATATTTCAATGGTCAAATAAACCATGGTTTACCGTAACTCTAATTACCGAAACTCAACAAACATTACCCGATAATTTCCGACGCTAAACTAAGGGATTACCCTTTCTTTGAATTTTGGATCTTAGTTATTACAGTCAAATTATTGTACTGCTGTTAACTAACCACCAACTAGATTTAGATCAGTTTTTAAAAATAGATTTTTGTTGTTTACAAACAACCAAAACAGTGGCCTCAGTGGGGGTTTTTTGTAATCTATCATTTTAAGTTTTAGGTACGTTAAATTTAAATCGGCCGAGACTAGAATCTAGATCTAGATCTAGATCTAGTAATGTGAATAAAGGTAACTCATTAATTTTTTTTAAAATTAGATCTAGGCCTAAAAATTTCACATTTTTAGGAAGATTTGTTGAGAATCTATTCTTTCGGTGTTTTAGGTAGGCTACGTTACGTAATAAATTAGGGTTAGGCGTATGGTAGGACTAGGGTTAGGGAAAGGTTTAGCATTGACATTAGCCAGCAATGTATGTATTTAGTTAACTACCAGTAACCTAACACCCCTTTTTTAAAAAGATTCTAGATCTATTACTGGACACTGATATAAAAATTGGTAATCTATCGTTTTGGGTACGTAAAATCGCCCGCGGCTATTAATGTACGAAAACGTTACCTCATTGTCAAGGCTGTAATAGAACTTATAGAAGTATATTGTGATATGTTTGTGTCAAATATTATAGATAATGAATAATAAACCTAAATCAATGGCTAAATATATCAATATAGGCCAGAAATTAACTTTAAACAGCAGTGTCTGCAAGCAAGATTTGCTATATAAACAGCAGCCATTTATAAAATAGAGTGACTTCCGCCTGAATCTTGCGCTATAAGTCTATAAAAATAAAACTTTAACAAGATGGCTGCTATAGTAAATGAGCATGGTTGCATCTGTTGGAAACATCGCTAGTCTTCATTTATTACTGAAAAGTTTTAATTCAATTGTTTAAAAACAGGTACATAAATGAAACAAGGAAACATTTTTGTATTTTTAAAACATATATCCTCCTCAAAATGTGAAATAATTATTAAAATGTAAGGAGTCACCTGTTTTTCACATTACTAGTCGCGGGCGATTTTATGTACCCAAAACGATAGATTACCTAAAAATTACCCTGTTACTACTAGATCTACTACTAGATCTAGATTTCTAGATCTAGATCTAGATCTACCAGTACAGTAGGGCAGTAGAGTAATTGGGCAATGGGTAAATATATCAATCTAGGCCAGAAATAAGCTTTAAACAGCAGTGTTTGCGAGCAAGATTTTTCTATGTAAACAGCAGCTATCTGTAAATTAGAGTGGTTTCCCCTGAATCTCCAACTATAATTTATTATTTACCCAAAAAAACCTTAAACAAGATGACTGCTTAAGTAAATGAGCTTGGTTGCATCTGATGAAAACCGTATATTATTTATATAAACATTACATTATGTGGGTGTGTGTGTCTCCTGTATGCATTACTAAACTAAACTTTCATCCAATGGCCATGAAACTTTAAAAAGTTGTTGAATGTCTTGGGAAGTTTTCTTAAAAAATTTTTTTTTTATTTTAAAGTGGTGCCTAGGCTCCCTTGTGAGCACTAAAGCACTTACAATTGTTTTGAAGAGTGCTATACATTGTGGGTAAGATGGGCTACTATCATGATTGTTGACTAAATCAAAACAAGCTGGATGTAGATCTAAACAAACCAAAGCAAGAATTAAAGAAAAAATAATACTAATTAAAACTTGAATTTTGTAAAGATTAAATTAAGCTATAAAAACTACAATTACGAGTCTTAAAATTTTGAAAATATGTTTGAAGCTCATTTTATCTTTTTTTCATCATTCCAGGACATGAACAAAAAATATTCAATTAATATACAATCAAGGTTTTAATTAGACCCATTACTTGAGAGTTAGTTCTTTACTTTTGTGGGTTGAAATTCAAGGCAGATCAGTTGCTCCACACACATGAAGTCGATGTGCATTAAAAGTAGCTTGACAGTAACAATCAATTCCTTAAATTTTAAAAATACTAAAATGGAATCTGTAGAAATAATTGATTTTTTCAAGCCTCTTGAGGATGCTAAAAATTTATATATAACTAATATAACTATAACTTCTAAAAACAGTCTTATATTGGAGGACTCTGTTATTGACATTAAGGTAAGAGAGTAGATGTGCAATTATTATTTAATTATATATAATTATTAACTACATCTTTTGTTTATGCTCTTCTGAGACTGAATATCATTGGATGTTTATTACAGGTCTTGTTACCATGATTGAAAACATTGAGTTCTAGTAAAATCACATTTAAGAATATTCTTTGTTAAAAATATTTTACAACGTTTTTAATTTTCAGAATAAACTTCTAGAAATATTTTCAAAATTTGGATTGATATATGAAGTTCAGGTTATGAACATTGATGTTTCTAAATCATTTGTGGACATCATGAAAGAAAGTAAAGGTACTTATAATAATTATTGGCCTTTTTTCAAACTAGTATATTTTACATGAATTTTTTTTATATGAAATGGACAAGAAATATATGTATGTTATTTAAGTATGGAGATAAGAATATTATTGTAACAACAGCTTTTGTTCAAGAATACTGTCATACTGAAAGACAAACAAATATTAATTTATTTTCCTTATTTTAGTGATTTATATTTAAAATATTAAATAAGTTGTTTAAAAAATTCAACTTTTCTTTTAATAACTTTTAGAGAGTTACCATACTGTCAATACATCAGAAGAGAATCTTAATTTCTATGCCTTTGTGAAATTTTATTCATCCATGTCAGCATCAAAAGCTAAAAGATCTCTGCATCTTACCAACTTCATTGGAACAGGGAGTTGCAAGGTTAATACAATTTTCATACAAAGATAATTTAGCCCCATGCTATGAATAAAATGATAGCTATAGAGAGGTATATGTATACATATTTATTTCAACACATAGGCTAGGCTATTGTTTGTAACCTCACAAATAAAGGACAGAAACAAGTACACTCGATGTTTCAACTCAAGGCCTTCAGCACATGACAGTGTGATTAACAACTTATCAAACTAAAAATAATGACTCTATTATTTAGGACTTAGCCCATCAGGGTTAATAGCTTTAACTTTGCTCCAACATTTGAAAATGTATGTTTATATTTTGTAGGTACAGTTTGCTAAACGTAAAAAGTCATTAGAAAAAGATAAACAAGAGTTGTATGTCACACAATGCCAAGATCTGGCCAACTATTACTTTGGATTTAATGGGTGGTCATCAAGTGTTAAACATGTAAGACCTTTTTTTTTTTTTAATTTTTATGCAATTAGTTTTTAACATTCTCTTTGCCTAATTTTACTTTAAGGTTGTTTTTTTTTTTAATTTATTTCTCATTCACAAATAGATTCATAACTTACTTACTATAGACAAAGGCAGTAATTATGATAAGTTCCATAGAAAAATCTTTTTCATTGTTGTTTCTTTTTGGGAAATAAATTACCATTAAAAGAAAAAGAAAGCCAGTTACCCATTTAGTTGGTCTGTAAAATTAAACTCAAAGTAATTCATTGTAATTAGTATACCAATATTACAGATAAAAAAGGAAAGTTTGAAACCAAATCTAGATGAAAGTGAAGAAAGTTGTTGTTTCCAGTGTGTTGTAATTCTTCATATTCATCAGTATGACCTAAATATAACAGGCTTGGGAATTTCAGAAGCAAGATATGCCATCTCTTCCAATACAGGTAACAAATAACTTGAATCTGTTTTGTTGTTCCTGCCACAGGTCTGCACTTAGCAAGATAGTAATTTGGATAATAATATATTACTTAATTTAAATACCATACCACTTTGCTTTTTTTCTACACCTAGAAAGTTTAGAAGAAATAAATCTATAAGTAATATGTATGTAAATGTAATGTTAGACAATTTTGTTTACATATTTTTTAATTATATATTTTTCAGGTAAAATTGAAGCATTTCATAGGTGTAAAAAAAGAGCTTACCAATATGCATTGCAAAATGCTTTCTCTAAAGTATTGTTGGTTGTGTTAAGCAATGGAAAAGTGTTTGCAGAAATTAACACAAACATTATGGAATCTCAAGGTGAATTGAAGCTGGACAACAATTATTTAACAGTAAGTATAATTATAATGCAGGTAAATTGAAACTATCAAAAAAGATTAATATAATTTAAAATGTTTTTCCTTAAACTAACATCTGAAAATGGACATAAACAAGGAAGATCCTGTTATTTCTTTGTTTAGGTAAATGAGTTGGAAGAAGAACCCAAGGAAGAAAGTGGCCCAGAGGATATTGATACACTAAACGTGGATATATTGTCAGAGCTCCAGCAAGATGCTAGCTAGTGTTCTATACGTTCAAAATATACAGCTGTTTTTGTGATATTTTTGTGATATTAAAGATTGATATAATTACTGTTAAAGTGTTATCTATGCCATAAAGCCCAAATGAACTGTTTATCTGTTTGTGGAACACTTACCTTACAGTAAAAAAAACTCCACTTATTAATCACCATTGTGCAATATTGTTAAGATTTTAATTTTTGTACTTAAAAACTTACATTGATGTCAAGAAAACTCAATATTTGTCATTTCTAATAAGTTTTCATTTTTTTTAACTAACCATTTATTTAACTGAAAGTGCAAAAAAAAAATATAAATATATGTATTATCCTTCACAAAAATAGTACAAATTACTTCCCCTTATTATTATAGATGAAAAATTCAATTCCAATTCCATAGGAAAAAATTCTAATTTGTGCTTATGATAGTGACTGTTTATGTTTGTGACATTGTGGTTAGGTTTTATGTTGTTTGCGATAGCAGTTGTTGTGGTTGGTTAGAGTTAGGGTTTTGTATGTATTTCTCAAAATATTTGCATACAATATAATTACAATATAATTGTAAATTTAATATATTTCCAAAACAGGCAGCGCCCAGTATTTGATGCTTAATAATAATAAACACACAAGTCACAATCTCTTACAGATACATTTTTTCACATAGGCCAGTACAGCTAATGGCTTTATAAACACAAGAAAACAATATTTTACAGATAATAAATTTATTTCAACATCTCATAAACTTGCATTTAAATAACATTCAGTTTAATTAATCATCAACTGTTTCTGTTCATGCCCAAGACACAGAGCAGATAAGGGAGAGGTCATCTGTTTCAATGACCTCGACAAAAGGGGGATAGTTTGGTCAACATTATGCCCAGCTGCCTTAATTTCCATAACGTGAATCAGGTACTCATCAGAGCTGGGTGGACTCGGGGATGTTGACTCAAGCCCAGAATCTAAATGAGGTTTTCAGTCGTGAGCTCTACCATTTGACCACACCATCATTACTAAACACCTAAATGAAAGTCAATAACTTAATACTCAACATTTTTGGTTCATTGAGAAAACAGTAGAATGTATAGTTTCAAATTTTAAAACTTTATGCCATTTATGGGGATGCTAAAAAATAACAGCTTTGAGTTTAAAGTATTGTTACTTTTGTTTGGTGATAGAAAGGTTTTTTAAATAAATAAAAAAAGGTTCAACTACATTAGTTGACTAAAAATTTAAAAATTCCATTTTTTTTTCCAAATCAATTTAACTAATGTCTTTGGCACTTGGAAATAATTTGATTTTATGGATAATATTTCATAAAATATTCTATTCCTATTTTCTTAAGTGTCTGCCATATTAAGTGGTCTATTGCTTAAAATCCAGTTTATTATCAAAGCACTTTATTAGCTCCTTCTTTTAGTTTATCCTCCAACTCAGTATAATGTTTCTTTAGGGAATCTATTTTGTTTTTAAATTCTGTATCAACACGAGAACTTCGAACAACTTGTGCCTGCATAAATTCATTCCACTGTTGCTCTCTGATTTGTCTCTGTGATTCTATCCAATCTACCTGCAAATGCATAGGTTCACTTTTTAATTATTTTTTTTTAATAAATGCTGTTTCTACTCCTTTAATTTTAAACATTAGGAAAATAATTTAAACTACATATTTATCATACAAAGGTTCAAATGATTCTGATAAGGTAAATTTAAATATTTTTAGATAACATTTTCAAAGCAACAAAACAGATTGTAATAGAAATGTAATATTATAAGATTAGCATAGTCAACATGTGATAAATATGTTACATGCCCTTTCAACAATGAGTAAAATACGTAATACCAAACACAAAATGATATATGATATCTCATAATTGCCATAATAGGCTGGTCAGCCAGCCAGGGTTTATATTAGAAACCTCAATATCAGGAAGGAAGGGGGAGAGACAAAGTTATAGTTGATCAGTGGGACACTAGCAGGAGTAGAGAAGGCTAAGTATAGTTACTTTTAATTTTAAGGGAGATAAATAGTTGATAGGGTTTTAAAGTAGGCCTAAAAATTTCCAAATCATGTTTGGAAATATTGTATTGCTTGATTGAGTGAACTATAGAAGTAAGAAACATTTGAGCAGGTTTTTGTTATACACAAGAAACTAATCCCTGAGAAAAAATGTTATTCATGTACTTTCACCACAATATGTGATTTGTAAAACTATTTAAGACTTATTGTTTTTGTATAAATTTTTACTGGCTAGTAACATTTATCTTTTGAATTTAACAGTTTACATTTAGTTTTAAAAAATGGCACTGCATCAAAACTAAACGAATCTATTCTTTAAAAAAGGTTTAGCATTCTGACTTAGTGTGTTTAGGATTAGATACAAAACATGTCAAATATTGTATTTAACTTTTTAATTTTTATCATTAATAGATTTCACAAACAAAAACATCCATCTTACCTTTTTTTCATCAGAATCCTGTAGAATTCTCTGTGACATTTGCAATGTTTTGGTAACTGCAACATTTATAACTATTTATAATCTATTTATATGCTCATAATAAAGGGACATAATAAATGTCTTTGGTAAATAAAAATGTTTTTGAAATGCTGACCTGATTCTTTGAGGAGTGTAACATTATTGTTTAAATTTTCTAGGCTTGAAGGTAATGCTCGATCCCTGCAGTCTAATACAACCTCGTGTGTCCGTGACAAAGATATTATCTCCTTCTCCCCTCTCTTTTCCTATTTAGTAAAAAAAACGTTTTCTTTTACTAAATAAATGAATTATCTTTTAAGTAAGTAAGAGGTAATCCATTTATGATGTTCACATATTGAAGGTGGGAGTTGTGTTATAAAACAATAGAAAATAATAGTTTAAAAACAACTTTCTTTTAAAAAAAAATTTGACATTGGATTATTTCATATATATCAATCGGTATTTCAGTTTTTATTATAATTTTATCTTTAGTGTTGAATTTCATGATTAAAAGTGGACAGCAAAAGCAAAGAGCTAAACATATTACTACATTATCATGTACCTCAAACTCTTTGACAAAGTTATTGGTCAGTCCTTGTAAGGCAGCTCTGTGGTTAAACAATCTGGAATAGATATCAGTTGCATCTGCAACAGAAAACAGCACACTAATATTTAAAAATCAACTATGGAAGGTCTATTAGTAAAGTAGTGTTAGCTTATTTCTAGATCTTTACAAGAATTACAAAAAGTAGCATTGAAATTATATATAAAATAAATATATCTATGTAGTTACTAAATGATATTGTTTAAACTTTTGAAGTTAGTGATGCTAATAAATGTTCATTAAATTAAACACTAAACTTACGCAACCCATTTTTAATACGGGTTACTAATACTTATGATATGCTTAGGCTTATATCAAGAGTTGGCAAACTTTTAGGCCTTGGGCATGATAAGTATCTTGTTGGAATACCTAAAGTGTATCCAAAATCATTTCAGCCTGTATGTAATTTCTAGATGAATAAATTATTTTCATAAAGATGGGTGATGGCAAAAAATTAAATAATTTCAGTGATGAAGGCTCCTAATAAATGAACTTCTAAAAAGCAAAATTAAGTGCGATTGTTGCCTCTTGTAGAGTTGTGCAAACTTCTTGAAAAGAAAAAGAAAATTTGCTGCTGGCCCTCATTATTAATAAGATAATGTTAGATACTTGGTGTTTTTGCAATATCTTTTCTAATTTTTTTTTTTTTTAAGTTTGTGTGTTTTCTATTATCACAACAGTCACCTAAGAAATTTTTTCCAGCTTGCAAAATGTAAATTTTGTCTGTGACAATAGAGCTAAAAGTAAATTTTAGACTGTAATCAATCTTTAAGTCTTACTAAAACAAAAAACTAATACATTTATAATGCTGGTAGATGTGTGAACAAAACTGCTGGCCTAAGTTTGCCAACTCCTGATTTGTAAAATAAAATAAGGAAACAGTTTTGCAAACCTCTAAAGATAAATTCACAAGTCATGTCAGTATACAAGGTATACAAATTAGTTATTATTGTTCAGCTAAATTCTGTGAATAAAAAAAAAAAAAAAAAATTAGTTAAATTAGCTATTAATGTAGATTAAATTTTAAAAATGATAATAAATTGTAATAGTAATATTCTAATAACCAAATCTACTTTTAAGTAATGAATTAGTTTTAGTATCCCAAATGCCTTAACATTTGAACAATATCCAGTACCTCAAAGTGGTATTACATTTCCATGTGAGCACAATAACTTAAGTACTGCTTCACTTAGGTAGACAAAATTTTAAATATGGGGTCATCCATAAATGATGTCATGCTTTTTTGATGATTTTTACCTTCCCCCTCCCCTCAGTCACACACCGCCACAAAAAGCTAGACCCCCCTAAAATGACGTCACACATCAGCCTACAAACCCCCTCAAAATTGCAGTTGAATTTTTCTTAAAACATCGATATTTTTCCAAAATTTTGTCTGAACTCTGTCAAAATAGAGTATTTTAATCGAACCTTATTGCAATTTATTAAAACGAGCCGACCCGCTGTGTATCATACGCCGCTATTTAGTTGTTTTTTCTACTTTTCAGTAATTCATAATTTGTGAATTCGACAGTACCAATGCTGCCACTGAAAATATTTGCTTTAAAACACTAAACCCTCCCCCCCCCCCCCCGTGAAAGCAGCCTCCTCTTAGTTACCTCCTCTAAGTTAAAAATAGTTTCAAACTGAATTATCTGCCCCTAATAGCCGTCACCAAACTAAACATTTAGCGTGAACTACAACTCACCTGACCATGTGAGGGGGGTGGGGGGGGTGGTAGCGATAGAGAGGAAAAGAGGGGACTGCAAGGCGCGCGCTTGCAGCTTGTTTTCCAATCGGCTCCCAGAAGAGAATTATATATATAGATAGTTTTCTAAAAACGAAATAACGTCTAAAATTCATTTTCTAACATTGTTTTTTTATAGTGCGAAAGTGTGACATCGCACCATCTGAACCACCCCCTCCCCTCGTCACACACCGTCACAAAATTACTGACCCCCCTCCCCACTACGAGTGTGACGTCATTTATGGACAACCCCTATCAGGATAAGATCCTGTAGTTTGAGTATCTTTAAATTGTATCCTTTTTCTAGTTCTTAACCAATGGTAATCTGATTACCATTTCGGTGAGGTGGACAAAGTTTCATATACAGTATTATACAGGCTAAGTATTTACTCCTGTATGTAGATACAGAAAGGAGCTACTTTGGTCTATTTCAGAATATTATAATTTTATATCATATTCTATTACCTCAATATGTTTTCTTAAAAAAAAACTAGCAGTTTTATTATAAACTTCTATATTTCTGCAAATAAATTAAACTGGAATCGACATCCCAATCCCTCCTGATATATAGGCCTATTATATAAGAATATGAGATAGATTGGAGGCAATCACTGACACTTTATTAACTAGGTTTAAAAAGTTAAAAGTCATGTAATTTTAAGAAGGATGGGGAGTAGCTTTTTGTTTGTGACAATACAATAGTGATTGAATAGTGTGTGAAAAAAAAAGGGGGGGGGGGAGGTAACAATCAGGGATTCTCCAAGTTAGAGGGGGGGGGGGGGAGGGTGCACTTGAAATTTGGGGTGGGGTTGACATTGGTTTAAAGTTTTTTTAAAGATAGTAGTTAGAATCTAGACTAGATCTATTCTAGATCTAGAAACTAGAACTACACTAACACTTCTAGTTCTAGATCTAGAATCTAGATCTCTACTCTCTACACTTACTACTTTATAACTTAGTCTACAACAATTTTGAACAATATATTATATAGGCCTAACATATCAGTTAAGAAGTTAATTAGTAATAATAGTATTAGTAGTAATATTCACGGTGATCATATGACAACAACAAAAAAAGGTATATATAACAACCCAAATTGAAGTCCAAAACTGGCCAGATAAAAATGCAAAGATAGTGCAATAATTTTTTTAAATATTCACTTTAGTAAGATATTAGGTTAAAATAATACAGCGACGAGCACCTAATAGAATAAAAAAAAAACTAATGACCATAGTAGTTAGTAGGTAGATTCACGGTTTTTCTTTTAGGGGGGGGGGGGACTGCTTGAAAAATTATACTTGTTTAGTAGGTATAGTATGAGAATAAACAATTAAAATCTTAGATTATTTTATTTTTCGTATTTGAATGTACATAATTGTACATGTAGATCCTATGTGGTAGGCTTCATGGTCAAAAGGGACCATCAGAAAATTGTCCTCAATTAGACGATATGGATCCAGAAAGGGATGTCATACACGGATCATATTATAGCAAATGAAGAGGTCATCAAAGGGATCACCTACGTAAATGATACTTTTGAAAACCCCTAAAATCTAAAAGCGAAGTGGATTGAGGTGAATCCTCAGTGGAAATTTACAAATCTATTTATCAATGGGCAATAAAAAGCAAGCAACAGATAAATAGAACTGGTTGACTTGCAACATTGACACATTTTGACGCTTTTCATCAGGTATGAAAAGAGTTGCCAAATGTTTCGAAGCAATTAATACACGTCTTAAATCAGTTTAATCTTGAAATTTTGTATATAACCAGATCTACTTTGTATATAACTAAATGTGTGTACAGATCCACCCACAAAGTTAGAAACAATAAGAGCAATAAAGAACATGAAAAATGGCAAAGGAGCTGGCCCGGACAGCATCCCACCAGAGGCACTAAAGCAGACCCAGCCATATCAGCAGATTTACTACATCCTCTACTTAAGCAGATTTGGGAAGAAGAAATAATCCCATCTGACTGGAAACTGGGATACCAGATAAAACTGCCAAAGAAGGGAGACCTGACACAATGCAAAAACTGGAGAGGGATAATGCTTCTTTCAGTTCCAAGTAAGGTGCTGACAAGAATCATCCTAGAGAAACTTAGAGATGCCTTGGACAAACAACTGAGACTAGAACAAGCTGGTTTTTGTCAAGACAGGTCATGTACTGACCACATTGCCACGCTGCGCATCATTATTGAACAGTCCCTTGAGTGGCAATCCCCCGTATACATGACTTTTGTCGACTTCGAAAAGGCGTTTGACAGTGTGAATAGAGATGCTATCTGTAAGTTAACGAGCCACTATGGAATACCCAAAAAATGTATATCTATCACACAGAAACTATATGAAGACTCCACCAGTCAGGTAATACACAAGAGAAAACTAACAAAACCATTCACGGTGACGACGGGAGTAAGACAGGGATGTATGCTATCGCCAATGATATTCTTGATGGTAATCGACTGGATCATGCTGAGGGCCACAAAAAACGACACAGGAATCCAGTGGAGTTTCACAAAAAGGCTGGAGGATTTTTGCCGATGACATCTGCCTACTATCTCACAAGCATCAACATACGCAAGCCAAACTAAATTGGCTATCTGAAGAAGCCTCCAAAGTTGGATTAAAAATAAATAAAAATAAAACAGAGGTCATCATAATCAATAACAGCCAGGACCTGCCCATACAGCTAAATGGAGAAGATTTACGAGAAACAAACACATTCACATATCTGGGAAGCGTGATCAACAAGGACGGGGGAGCAGACGAGGACTTTAAATGTCGTATCAACAAGGCTAGATGTGCCCTCAACTCACTGCGCCCGATATGGAGGTCCACGGCCCTGTCACTCCGGAGCAAAATTGGGATTTTCAACACAAATGTTCACGCAGTGCTGCTCTATGGCTCGGAGACTTGGAGGGTTACGAAGACAAATACTGATAAGCTACAGGCATTCGTAAACAAATGCTTGCGACATATACTTAAAATAAGATGGCCAGACTAAATATCAAACAAAGACCCGTGGCGAACTTTAAAGCAACAGCCAATATAGACAGATATCAAGGCCCGTAAATGGGGATGGATCGGACACACATTAAGAAAAGAAAAAGAAAACATCGCAAAACATGCTTTGGAACGGAATCCCCAGGGGAAAAGGAGGGTGGGCCGGCCAAGGAAGACATGGAGAAGAACGGTTGAAGAAGAGGCGAAAACAGCTGGGCTCAAATGGGCACAGATAAAGGGGGCAGCCTAAAACCGAGTCCGCTGGAGATGTGTGGTTGCAGCCCTTTGCTCCCCAGGGACCACAAAGGAACGATGATGATGATGATGACTTTGTATATTATGTAATGGAATATGTAAAATTTTAATAATTTGATTACAAATTTAGGATACCCTTGAGAGGTAAAGAGATTCTATCGGATACAAACGTTGTAAAAAAAAAGTACTTGTTTGCTATGTTACTCATTTTCCTATACATTAAAAATAAACCGGTAGTGATCTCCCCTAAACTTTCTCGAATATTCTTATATAACTCGGAATATAGACATGATTTTTAATTACTTAAACTTTTAAAAATAGAATAGAATCTCATAGAAAAAAGAATTGCGCACCAAGCGAACGCCAAAATAAAATGTGCATATTAGTGCGCAATATTATTAGTACTTTATAAATTTACATGCGTTTTTTGAGAAATCGGAAATAGCGTAAATTAGTACTTCCGGTCAACGGAAATTACTCAAAATTTGAAAGAAGGTAGAGAATTAGATCTTTTACTTACATGTGAAATTTCATTTATCTATCTGAAATAGTACTCAAGTTATAGGCTTTTGAAAAATTCAAAGTAGAAAAAGTACCACTTCCGGTTATCGGAAATCGCTCAAAAGTTTATCAGGATCTACGATTTTGATAAAATACTTATATATGAAATTTCATCAACCTAGCTGTAACGGTACTCAAGTTATCGTGTTTACACACAGACAGACAGACAGACAGACACACAGACATACGGACAAGATTGCAAAATTATGTTTTTCCGTATCAGTGAGGTGTAAAACGTCGAGATTTGTAAAAATCTCGATTTTTATTTTGCACGATTACAATACTTTCTCTATACTTCGTATATACGAGAAAGTAAAAAGGAGGACAAAGTTCAGTCCAAAAACGCGTAGATTCAAAACATTTAAATACATTCAGAAAAAAAATGTAAATGCATCTATATATATATATATATATATATATATATATATATATATATATATATATATATATATATATATATATATATATATATATATAATTCTTTGGGGGGGGGGGGGTGACGTCATTAGGTGCGGCACCGGATGACACCCGATCTAGCGAAGCCGCTGCATTTAAGTACACCATTAAAAAGAAAATGTGTGTGAAGGGAAGGTAAACAAAAGTTTAAAAGATGGAAATGTTCACATATTCAATATTCTCAGTTTAACATACGCTCCTACCGACGTGAGTGGAATGATGGTTGGACAGCAGACAGTGGAGTCAACATGTCGGCTGGTCATCCCCACCAATCTTAGACCATTTGTCATTTTTTGTTGATTCACTCCTTTAAACGTGCGTGGTGCCGTCTTGTTTTCTTTTGAAATACACAATACAAACACTAATCATATTGGCATTAACCGTTTATAATTATATAGGCTATAACATGCAAAATACGTTTGTATATATTTAACAGCTCTAAATTTTTAACTTTAGCTCTAAATATTTACTATTTAAATGCAGCACTTTTATACTACTCTACAAGTACTGCAGCCGATCCTACACTAGCCTAGTACTGCTCTAATTAATTTTGGTGTACATAACAAATTTAGAAACTGAAAGCTATATGTGGCAATCAAAATGTCACGTGACGAAGGCTCCTTGTCGTTTTGTAACAACGCGGCGCCAAAACGATCTGTAAATTTTTTTTCCACATTTTGAGCCAAAAAAAAAGCTCATCTATTTTAGGCCCACGTGTCAATCGCAGTTTTCGCACAGCGATATTTTAATATGAGAGATTTCATTTTAGGTTGTCTCTTATAGCCTATTGTTCCTCAAATAATAAAATAAAGATGCCCTTTTTTCCAACGTTAGTGATGATACATCTTAAAATCTGTTATTCTTTTTAAGCATTAGTGAATTGTGAATAGTTACACATACCCCAGCCGTAAAAAAAAGTCTGATTCATAGTCTCACATAATGTTACTAATATAACGTTATTGTCTAAACTGCACTTAAAAACATAGGTTGCCCAGTTCTTCATGACAGAAAAAAAACGACACATTACATTTACTTGACCAGGCCTGATACAAATCTATAAATTACAATTCGCTTTAAAGCAGATTTTGTGTTGCTTTGTTCGTTGTCGTTTGTAGTGGCGCAAAATTGTTGTCGCACTCATTATTCGATTGAAGGCAATAATTTTTATACTAGCATTATTAGTCTAATTTTTATATTTGTTTTACAACCAACTATAAGGAATACTGTGCAACACAAACCAAATATTTGTAGGCTACCGTATTATAATTTGGCTTATTTTCATTTTTTCGCACAGGCAAGGTTTTTTTTTAAACAATTATTTCATAATGTTATTATGGATACTCCATGCATGTTCGCAAGGTTGGACACACGCTGTTATTTATTAATCTGTATTTACTGTAGAGATCAACGTTCGGTCTCTACTTTTAAAATATTATAGATTACAATACGTATTTTTATGGCAAAGAATGAAGTAGTCTAGAACTACATTCTATATATTAATATTATTTATTTCGCAGAAGCAACAGAAGTTAGGGCCTGTTAGGCTAGGGCCTATTTAGAACCCTGGCTAAATTCAAGTAAATTGAGATCAAATGAGCAGGCTCAAAATTTCCAACTCTAGGTTTAGTTTCCAGGAATCGTTGCTTACTAAGAATATTTTTAGAGCCGAATATGAATGGAGTAATAGAGCTAGTCTAGATCTAGATTAGTAATCGTATTATTTTTTTAATTGAACAGCATCTTGTAGATCTAGACTAGATCTAGACTACGTAATATATTTTAATAACGTAGTATATTAGCAGTGTATTAGAATTAGAATTATTAGATCTCTGATCTAGTAGTACTGTAGTAGAGTTTCAATTATAATTATAAAATTGTTACATCCACATTTGTTAGAACTTAGAAGACTATTGAGATAAGAATCTAGGCCTCAAGTTAAATATAATTAATTATTAATTAGGCCCATTAAATATTTTAATTAAAAAAATCTCTAGTGAACATGGGGGAAATCTAGGGGTAGATCTGTTAATAAAATGATTAAAATCTGTTTACTATAAGCTAAGACTAAGATACTTAGATAGAAAGTGAAACGACTCTTTTTCACAGAATGAATGTAAATCCCTTGATCTAGTTGATTCACAAATTTAGTTAGAATGAGATCTAGATTCTAGATCTAGAATCTAGCAAGTCCTGCTGATGATTGGAAGACTAACTGAAAGACAAAAGTAGCCACAACTTACTACTAGATCTAGATCTTTCTTAACTAGGCTAGTTAGTAGTATACTAAAGTATAGGTATAAACAAGAAGTAGATGTAGATTTGGTAGTTGGTTTTAGCATTAGGCCTAAATATTAAATTATTAAACTGTCACTAGGTTACTTTATCAAGTCACTAAGTTAGTAGTAATTGTAGTATTATGAAGTATTAAAACTAGGCCTCTTAGTTCAGCTATTGGTATTGATTGACTATACTTACTAAATAACTTTAACTAGTATAATAGTTTGGATTAATTTTTAAGGATTTTAATATACTTACTAATTACTAAGTTAACTAACACAGAATACTAGATATCTAGTCATTGAACTTTGTGGCGTGATGCTGGGTAAACGGAAAAAAAGTCACAGGAAAAAAAAACACAGAAAAAAAGTCACAGTTTTTCCTAGGAAAAAAAGTCACAGAAAAAAAGTCACAGTGGAAAAATTTTATCGGAAAAAAAGTCACAGAAATAAAGTCACAGAAAAAAAGTCACAAAAATCTTTTTAGAAATATTTTTATTAATTTGTTAAGAATTGTAAAATTTTGTATGTTTATTGTTGTGGGTTGTATTTTTTGATAGCATAAATTATTTATAGACGTTAAAAGCATTATGATTTATAACAATTGTAAGTAAAAATACTCTAAGATAATTTACACAACAATCTCAACTTGTTACGTATTTAGTTAAATACGCGGTAGAAAATTTAATTATTAAAGGAAATTTGGGCACATTTTGCTGTAGGCTATTCTCTGGTCGGCCTCTCCTCACTAGGCATTGTCCGAACATATTTTGTGTTGTTGACGTTATGCATCAATGACAGCCTTTGAACCTTGTCGGCTTTCTGTTTTGATCCTAAGTTTTGTTATGTAATGAGCCTGATAAATGTGGGCAGTAAAGGTGGTTGAACTAAACATCTAAACATAACTATTGTTGCCATGAGTTGAGGGCAGCAAGTCAGATGAACTTACCATTTCACGGTAATTTAATATTGGTATTTAAAAAAAAACACGATGAAAACCGTGGACTTTGGAGCATTCTATTAAATGCTACTAATCTTAAGTTAAACATAATTACAATCTACATACTTCATAATAAATATTTTTAGATGAATTATAAAATTCCTATGCGTATACAGCCTACACACATTACATTACATTTAATTAATCCTAAGTTAATTTGCACTCTCTAAATATTTAATACATAAAAGTATTAACAAATATCATGCAAATATATATTTGTGACTTTTTTTCCTGTGACTTTTTTTCCTGTGACTTTTTTTCCTGTGACTTTTTTTCTGTGTTTTTTTTTCCTGTGTTTTTTTTTCCTGTGACTTTTTTTCCTACAATCTGATGCTGTGAGTTGAGTGTTTCATGCATGCGGAGGGCTCTATTTTGGCACTGAAGCCAGAGACAGAATGTTGTTCGTCAGCAGTTGCAAAATCGGGGAAGGGGATAAGGGAAATCTTCCTTAACAGAATTGCGCCATTTCTATTGCTGTATTTATTATAACTTTGTTATCATAATAGGGTGTTGAATACAGATTTGCATCACATTAAATGCACGTAATGATTTACATGAAAAAAAAAACTTTGGGTAATGAGCAGTGGAGTAAGATGAATGATTGTGTATGGATCTTTAGGCAAATGGGTGTCCTGTTGCTTGCATTTGAGTTATGGGGTGTTGTGGTGTGGCTAGAATAATGGGGTGTGGGATGGGGTGGTGTTGGATTTTGTTCTGAGTGCTGTTCATATGTTGTGAGGGTTAGATGTGTTGTGGAGTGTTTGTGGGGCGTTTGGGTTTGGTCTACTCTGTATGTTTTGAAGTGTATGTGTATAGTGGAATAGGCTGTGGTGTATTGGGAATAGTGTGGAATAAGTGATTGGATGTGGATCATGTGGTATGAGGTTGGGTTGTGCTATGGGAAGTAGTGGGATATGGAATGTGGACTGTGGATTTTAATGTATATTTTAGGGTGTAGTATTTTTTGCTGGGTGCGGTGTGTGATGTTATGGTTCAGGTTAGGTGGAGTGTGGACAGGTTTTGTGAGGTGTTGTATAGGAGGGTTGTGTGGGGTTTGGTTTGTGATTCATGGTGTCATGCAGGTTGTAGTGCATTTAAAAAAAATTTCCTTTTCTGTTATCCTCCCCCTTTAATTCTTTTTATTACTAAACCAACATATATTTAGCCTTTAATGTTTTATGTTGTAGTTAACAGCTTTTTGCAAAAATATTGCTAAGAAAACTTCTTAAAACATAGTCTAACACTTTGTATTATCATAATATAAACTTTTTAAACACATGATGTCTGTTTAAGAAGATTATGTAGGGCAAAAACAAAATGTAATGGGCACTAAAAATCTCCTAATTACTTTTAAGATAGAGCAGGTTAAGATACCTTAAATGAGTCTCTGAGTAAGGCCTATTTAAATTAGCTTAATAGAAAGTACAAATTGTTTTACTATGCTTTATATTTGTTTAGCTAGTTCCAGACAACAAAACGTAGCTCTAGGCCTAACTTTAAACTATTATTATTGTTCATTCCCTCTGTATAACCAATTGGGTAGTGCTCCTCAATAAGAATCTATATTTCAGACTAATGTTGGCTGTTGTTATTGTTACAACACCACAGACTCATATGCAATGATAATTTTCTATTTTGATACTAATATATGAATGGCAAATAACCCTATAGAATCATTAGAAACACTTCTTTTTTTTTTTAAACAGGAAATACTATTTTTCTTCTTTGAGGATAAAACTTCTTAAAAAAAAATTTAACTAGTGAAAATCTATATTCAGTTTTATTTATGAAATTTCACCCAAAAACTTTCATCTTTGGTTGGTTGTTAGACTTGGAGTTTTGGTGATCAGTTACAGCTCTTTTAAACTTTATTCTTTTGTAGCCGTTCAAAAATTGTGGGTACCTTATAAATAAATTATATCTTGTTAAATTTTTTACTTTTAAATATCTTATACTTTTATTTTAAATTAAATAGATACATTTAATTATTAGATATTAGACTGATTAAACATTGTCACCTCTATCATTTATTTTAGAGCGAAATTTAGAGAAAAAAATGAACAAATTTGATGTCAAGATACAACAGTTAGCACATAGATTTCAAAGAACAGGACATCAAGGTATGATTTATTTTCTATTTTTCTGTTATTTTGTTTTCTTGCCAACTGTAAGTATTATTGTTAATAAATATTTTGAACATGGAAAATATCTACTTCTCTTTATAAATCTATTACAAAATTATTTTTTTATTAAAAAAAAACAACTTTATTTGTTTCATCTTAACCAAAATTGTTCAAAATATTCTTTAGATGATGAAACCTGCTACATTTTAATTCAGTGCTTAAAAGAAGAGGCAGAAAAATGGATTAAGGTAGCCAATTTTGAGCAAGCTGAGGAATGCTACAATTTTGCAATTTACTGTCATTCCCTTTATAAGGGTAATAAAGTTCTTCTATCACATGAAGATCAAGCAGTATTGTGGAGTAATAGATCATTAGTAAGATGCAAACAGAAAAAACTTCCTGAGGCTTTTGAAGATGCCGAAAAGTGTATAGAGCTTCACCCCAGATATGTTAAGGTAACTAGAGCTTTTATTGGTTTTGTTGATTGATATTCAATTAAGCTATGTCTAACTATAAAACCTATGTGTGTGATTAACATTATGATTTTAATAGTTTGTTCCTAGTGATTTTATTTTTGTTTCCTTTCTTATGTTCTTCTTTATGTGGTATTTTAAAATAATTTATTCCTTTTGAGATCTGATAACCTGGAGTCTGTCTATGATCTATTCACAACAGACTAGTAGTCATACACTTTTATTATGACCACCTGTATTATGGCAAAGTTAAGCTTAGTTTTTTAAAACTAGGCTTGTTTTCCCCATGATTGTCCTATATAATGCCACTCAGCAAGGCGAAAGTCACATTTTAATGTTTAAACAATTTAAATCATATATGGTTGTACTCTAATTATTTCTGAATTAAAAATTGTTTTCATACAGGGATACTGGCGTGCATCACAGGCCATGCGTGGTATGGGTAAATTTTCCTTGGCTGTAGAATATTTGTTTAGATACCTATCACTGGAACACCCCAGTGACGATGACTTTGTATGCTTTATGACAGAATTAGCTGTTCTAATAACTTATTTTAAAGGTAACTTTTTTTGTCTCCAATATTTGTTTTACCAAGTATTAATTTTTTAAGTACAAATAAGTTTTTTTTTATTGTTCCTGATAATAGAAATTTAGTTTTTTTTTCTTTTGGTGTGTTCTAGGTGAATCAGAATGGAGAGAATGTGAAAAGTTTAACATTTTCATAACAGACTCCCCATTAGTATGGAATCGAATAATTAAATCACTCTTTGATCAACAAGAATATGAAGCCATTGCTGTTCTTACTCTTGGGGACTGTGGCAAGCCTCAAATTCCTAAAACCATTTTGCACAGCATGGCAAATATTCCTGGGCTTTCATTTAAGAATTTTAATGTTGGACAAATGTTATCACATGTAATTAACAAGGAAGGTAATCTATTTGAAACATTTTAATCAGTTACAAATTGTATAAATAATACTTCACTGAATATTCACATTGTTTATACGCATGTTAAACAATTTTACATTATGGCAGTCAGTTCTTATACTTATACATATTTTTCTATTTAGGACTAAAATTATGGCACTTAAAGCTATCTTCTTTGATGTTAAAGAAAAATGCCAATATTCACTCTATCCAAGAATGCTTTTCTAAACCTTTACTTGTCATAATGACATCTCTCAGCCTTGAAGGGGGTAAGTTTACTTTTTAATTGTTGGTGTACCTTTTTCCTATTTGCACACTTTTAAATGTATAGCATTTATCATTTTTAAAGAGAAAATCTTCCAGCCACCCGTTCCATTTGAACTTAAGATAAAGTTGCTAGACTCTTAGCAGTTAAATTTATAATTTCAAAGCTAGATGTAAAACTCAAAAACTTAACAATAATTTTGTTCTCTGCTCACAATATATTACTTGTATTGTCTGATATTAACAAATTTAATTAAGGATGGCTACAATAAAAAATTAAATTATGGAATAAATAAGATGTTTTTAATAGCTTTAATAGTGAAATAAAGAGAATATTTGTACGATGGTGGGTTTTTTTTTTATGTTTCAGAAATGCCAGAGTTTCTCAATTTGGCCTGGAATAAATTAACACCAGATAAATATGATGAGGCTGACAATGATGGTGATACTGCTTTACACGTTTGGGCAAAAAGTAAAAACAACTCTAAACCACATGGAATAGTAAGTAATGTAGACTCTATCATTTACAACAAAACTATTAGTTTTTTTCCCTGGTTTGACAATTAGTCAGTGTTACTGTATTTTAAATATTAATTTAAAGAAAATACAGATTACAGATATTGAACCTATATCTATGTACATCTGAATGTTAGCTTATACTATATCTTTTTCTATTTGTTTTAATTCAGGAAATTTGTAAAGATTTGTTAAAACATGGTTGCCTTGTTAAGAAAAATGCCGTAGGAAATATTCCCTACCAATATTTAGCAAAGTCTAATAAAATGTTTGAAGCTTTAACAGAATTTGGAAGTACAGCTGGTAAGTTTTTTTTAGTAGACAGTTATTATAAATAGATAGGTAAATCCATACAGTAGGTTATGTGTACAGTAATCTCTTACATATTTCAAGTTTAGAAAAGTCCACAATATGAACAGGATTGGCTAAAGTGACAAATTAATTTATTTTTTATGCAGCTTTTTTTTTTTTTTAAAGATTTCCTACTCCTATATAAATTTTGTCAAACTTATTACTCTTAAAAGTTTAAAAATAAACATTTTAGAAACCGTTATTATTAAAAATTGCATTGAGACAGTGAAAGTTGAATTGTAGTACAGTAAGGGATTACTGTGTTTGTACAAATGAGTCAAATGATAGATAATAAAAATTTAGAGAAAAAGTTTTAGAACAACCAGATATAAAAGAAATAATGAGTGACTATATTGTTCAAAATGCATTAAGTATATTTAGTTATACACTTGTACTATGTAAGCAAAGTTTCTGTCTCATTGCAAAATATAACCTATATACATAGCTGAGTTTTATTATAAATAAAGTGGCAAACTAAATCTAAAATTGGCAATTTTAAGAAGTTAAAATCAAATAATAGATTAACTTTTTTGTTTTTATTACACATAGATGCTGCCATTTGTAATAGAATAGATCTAATTAGAATATCTGGCAACGAAGCCTTACAAAAAGACAATTTGCAAGAAGCCATCAAACTCTATGATAAAGCCATTGAAATCTCAGAAATTTACAGTCTGAAACCACAGTTGTCTGTTCTCTATAGCAACATGGCTGCCGTTCATATAAAACTTGAAGATTATAAAAGAGCACTCTTAGCTGCTGACAAAAGTATTCAAGCTATGCCCTCTCCAAAGGTGGGTCCACTACAATATATTATGCAATATTTTTGAAAGGAGAAACTGTTCCAAAGTAATGAAAGCTATTAAAAATGATATAGTCAGCATTGCTAGCTGCATGTAAGATGTCGCTGAGTGTATGATTGCACCAGTAAGTCTTGAGTTTATTTTGCTTTAGAATGCCCATAGTAAGTTTTTTAAAAGTGATAAGTGTAAAAGAGTTTTTAAAAAAATGAAATGTTAGATTATAACTTTATGAGTATCATAAGCTAATTTAGTTTCCTAACTGTTCATTTTCTCTTCCTTAAGTGTTATGATTTCAAACCTACTTGTTATTATTTTAAGGCTTATTATCGCAAAGGACAATCACTAATTGAATTGGGACAGAATTCCAAAGCATTTGATACTCTAATGAAGGGTTTTACAGAGACTACTGAAGATGTATATAAGATTAAATTTATCGAGGAAGCTGCATGCCTGCTTGTATCAATGAATGGTGTGTATTCTTTCTTGTATTAACTGTTTTAAAATTTGAAACAAAATATGCTGTCAACATTTTAATTTACCTTTCAAGACCTGATGTGCAATGGGGTGTTAGAGTACTTTTTTTATGTGTCAATAGCAAATGCAGTAAGGTGTTGATTGCCCAATTGCCTTTATAACCCTTTACAGATCTCATACAGTGGATACACCAAAAACACTTTACAGCGAACAGTTACATTTTTAAAAAAAAAATCTTGTTTTTTTTTTTTTTTAGAAAAAGAAAGGGGTTCCCGCACTCTGAAAGTCAAAGGTGCTGATCATTTGTGGCCAAAGTTATTACAGAATCTTACTCAGAGTGGAAAATGGAATATAGTCTATAAGATGATCACTGGGTCTCCATTATTTGACATTGGTAACCTTTTGTTGATTTCATTATTAACACCTTTGTTTTATATCCTGTCCTTTTGTTTCCAGAACGCCTTTAATACTAGGTTTAAATGCAACCATCTTCATTTAAAGAACTGTAAAAATAACTTGTAAATGGTGTTGTTTATGGTTAGTCTCCTGTCCCATTCTTGTTTTTGGTGTGTTTGTGATATTTTTCTCCTGATTTTCAGGTCCCATTAAGAACAATGATGCCAGTACAGTCATATTATCTTCAATATTTGATGTGCTAGATAAAGAGTACCTTGATTTTGATCCATCTCTACTACTGAAACTACTTCTTCAACATGGTGCCCCACCAGCCAGCCTGGCTTCAAAAGATGAATCTTATTTTCATTCTGCAGTTCGATTCTGCCTTGCCACAGGTAACTCTCATCACAATGACAGGTATATTTAATTAGAGTTTTTAATTAAATTCACCTGTCACAATGACATGCTAGGTATAATATTCTATTTTAGTTTACCTTTCCACATGTAATACAAATCTGGTTTACAGTTTTTTAAAAACAACTATGTAAAAAATATGAATACATAAATTTTTTTCAGTTTGTCATTATGCTTGTTTTATGGATTAAAACAATAATTAGTTTCAATATTTCAACCTTTTAAACTGTGGAGAAAGAAAAAACCCAAGCCATGTAATGTTTTTTACAGGTAACAAACTGATCTTGGATGTAATTCTTGAAATGGATTTATATAAGACAGTTACAAATGCACTTGATGTGAATAGCCAAACACCACTTCATGTCCTGTGTCAGGTCAGCAGCAACAGCGGTTTGGATGATGAATTTGTCATCCACATGGCCAGAGATTTAATTAAGAAAGGAGTTAACCCGCATCACCTAGATTCCAAACAGAAATTAGCGATTAACTATACCCTTTCTGGATCACAGCTAAGAAAATTTCTAGGAGGTATTTAATTACTGTTATTTTAATTGGTAATACAAGTATTTCATTTTAAAAATAAAATGTTGTATATAATTTTTAGCTATTGATTTTCTGGTATTATATAAAACAGTAAAGTTTAGTAATATATATTTAAATATACAAAAAAAAATTTCTGTTTCTATTTTTTATGGCTATTTAGTAGTGCAAATATGTTTTTAACTCTTTAAGACCGTAATGACGCTTCCAGTGTTCGAAGGCCGGCTTGCTGTGCCGTAACGACGCTCCCAGCGTCCGATAAAATTTTCTCTATTTAATTCATTGTTTTATCAAAATCAAAGTTTTTAATTGTGAAACTAGGTCATGATATCGCTAGAGTAAAGCTACTTGCAAAACGGCATTTTTTTAACACTTCAGAATGCCATTCAGTGGCTGCGGCTAAACGTTTACGTTGCCGCGTTATAAACTTAACTAAAATTAAAGTATTTATGCTTATACTAATCCGATCCATGATTTCTATAGGAAACTTACATTTTCTCTGAATAAGAACTCATAAAAAGTAATTCTTATCATTAATTCTCCTGACAAAAGCGTATTTTTTGCCCCAAAAAATCCTTTATTTTTACTTCTTTAAAACGAAGTAATTATCTTTCTTCAATAAATAAATAATTACTTAAAATTTAATTACGATTAATTTATATTAGTAATGCGTGGGGTTTAAATCAATGGGTAAAAAGATATGAGTCGTTTTGCCGCAGTGGTACTGAAAAAAATTGAGCGGGAAAAAAAAAATTATGGTAAAACGTGAAAATAATTACGGGCTTAAAGAGTTAGTAGAAAAATGTTTTGAAATTAAAAGTAAAAAAACTTCAGTGCTATATTTCTGATTATTAATTGATGCATTTGGGCAATGGATAACAAAAAAGTATTGCAAACAGGTCCAAAACAAGACAGTAGTATGGACTGGAATCTTTTAAAAGAGAATGGAAATGAAGCATACAAATTAGAAGATTATAAGAAAGCCATAGATCTTTATACAGAGGCCATTTTCATGCTTGAGTCAAATGTACAGAGTAATAAAACTTCAGGTACTTATCAATCTCTAGTTGATATTTTAAAGTTATTTCGTTGCTAATTTCAAAGTTTGTCTGCCTTTATTACAATTATTGTTTTAAAATATAACTAAAATATGTCAATTACTTTCACACCTTTTAGAAAGTATAATGAATTGCTCAAAAATGTATTGCTCTTACATGTTTATCCTGTATATTATGTTTCATACTAACTTTTCAAGGATTAAATCTTTCTTTCCTTCCAGATTTTCTAAATGACGTAGATGGGCACAACCTGTCTGTTCTCTTTGGGAATCGAGCTGAATGTTGGTGTAAATTGAACAACAAGCAACAATTTCTTGATGATGCCAAGAAAAGTGTGGAATATGATGGGAACTGGTACAAGGTAAATGTTTTAAAAAATGTTTTTTTATTTTTCTGTATTGCCTATTTCCAAATAAAGCAATCAATTTTTCTCTATAGACAGATATAGATATATAGATAGATGTAAAGATTTATAAAGTTTTTTTAGATGTAAAAATATATACATATAGATAGACAGACATAAATATAAAAAACATGTATATATTTAAATACACATTCTCACATTAATTTGAATAAAAAACTATATGCTGTTAATTATGGAGCTTGAATTTTAACAGAGTCATCAAAGAGTTGGTCGAGCATTTCGAGCTAAAAATAAATACCAACATGCTATTAAAGCATTTATGAACACCTATAGATCTCTGAAAGTGACAGACTCAGCAGAAGTACGAGAAAGTGTTTTAATAGATTTAGCTGAAACAGCTGTTGATTTAAGTAAGACACCTATAATTTTCTACAATTATTAGATTAGTTCTGTGTTCTGATGAAAATTCTGAGTCTGTTATTCCATGTAGGCCCTACTTGGTTTAGAAAGTTTTTAAGTTTTAAAATTTTTTTACCTAAAATTTTTATTTAGTGAAGTGTTTAATTTACATTGTTCTTAAGTATTTCCAACACATCCTTTTATAATTTAAAAAATGTTTTTGAAACTACACACATTTTCGTAGATGATCAAGGAGAAAAGTATCTGATGGATTTGTGCAATATTAATGTATGGGCTAAAATATCACTTGCCTGCATCAGAAAGAAAAAATACAGAATTTCAGAATTCATAGCAAAAAAGATATGTATGCAAAATGATCCACAATCAATAGGACAGCTGAGCAGTGAAGTAAAACTGGATGTGTTTTGTAACAAAGATTTGCTGAACTCCCAACATCTCAAGTGAGTAAATAGTTATGATGTAGATTTGTGTAGAATAAAACGTACATAGAGTTTTAGAGTAATTTGTATTGACTGCTGATGATATCATTAGAGAGTATTTGCTATTGTTTTATTTGCTTTAAAGAATATGTGTAGTGCATGACTTATCTAATCAATATCTGTCCTAAAGAATTGCATACAGCAAGATCAACTGAAGATATAGTAGTAGACATTGTCGCCTATAGAATAAATATATAGAGCCTAACCACATAACATTAAGTTAAAGGTTAATATGAGTCAAATTTTCATTGATCTTGTTTTACAACCTGTTGATGATCTCACCTGAACTATTTTCTGGTTCCAGATGGGTGCTCAATTACATGGTGTGGTGGCTGTTTGCTGGGGCTGACTATACGACTCTCAAGTTTCACCCTGGGGACACTTTCTTCCATGCCACTATAGCTATTGACGTTTTGTGTCCTGCACCTCCACAGGATAAGGTCAAATTTAAAGAGGATTATCATGGCCTACTGTTTTATATTGTGGAACAGGTTGTTCAACGGTTGGGTCTTGAGAACAGTAGAGATGACAAAGGAAACACTGTGTTACATTTGCTTGCTACATTAAAGGTAAAGCTCTTCTTTTTTAAAGTTTTGTTTTTCTGTGATTAAATATAAGCATTGTAATTTAACAAATCCAACAAATCTGTGATGTTAATCAAGTTGGGTATTTTAATTGTACGAATGAACATCAGAGTTTGGCATTAGATTTTTACAAAATTGTTTTCAGGGTTCTGACTCAGTGAGAGAATTCTTGGCCCATTTTTTATTGGGTATAGGTGTTGATGTATTGGCTGAAAATAATGACAAAAAACTGGCCATAGACTTGTTGGGTCAAAATGATCACATTAGAAAATTGATACAGCACCATACCAATATTGGTAAGTTAATTCAATATCACAATATTAACTCATTTTAAAAATGAACTTGTACTTTGTTTTAAAATTAATTTCTGTATATAATTGGGTACAAATGTCTTTAACACTTCAAAAAGGAAAACACATTCTGCTTTAATTTTAGAGAGGACCCAACAGAAATTACAACAGAGGAAAGAAGAAACAAAACCACAAGTATTTAACAAAGATACCACACATTCTCAACAGCAGGTGAAAGAGGAAACTAAACCACAGATAATTAACAAAGATACGACAAATTCTGTAAAAGATTCGACAAGTTCTGTACACATGGGCAGAGAAAGAAAAAAAGCTGAACAATATGAGCATAAAAAACCAGTCTTTGAAGAAAAAAAGAGAAAACATTCCTCCCAAAATTCTAAAAAAAGAGCATGTGACTTTTGTGAAAAGAAACTTCGAGACTCTTCAGACCACCAGCAACAAGGAAATCATGAGAAAGGTTCAAATATTTATTTATACATTGACTAGAGAAAGGTTAAAAAAATATTTATTTATACATTGACTAGAGAAAGTTTTAAAAAAACATTTATTTATACACTGACTAGAGAAAGGTTCAAATATTTATTTATACACTGAGTAGAGAAAGGTTAAAAGATTTATTTATACACTGACTAGAGAAAGGTTCAAATATTTATTTATACACTGAGTAGAGAAAGGTTAAAAGATTTATTTATACACTGACTAGAGAAAGGTTCAAATATTTATTTATACACTGACTAGAGAAAGGTTCAAATATTTATACATTGACTAGAAAAAGATTTAAATATTTATTTTATATTTACTAGTAAAAGGTTAAATATTTTCTGTTTGTGAAGTCTACTCACAAATTTCATCATATATAAACCAACAGTTAATATATTTAACATTTTATTTAAACACAGTAAAACATCTGACTTTTATAAACTATATTAAATTACTACCAATATACTTAATGTTAAAATGAACTGTTTTTGCAAGTTTGAATGTAAGGGAGTGTAAAACATATTGACTCTTAAGTTAATACTGATTATTATAGTGTAGTATAATTATTATAGTGTAGTATCTATTGATATTTTTAACAAGCCTATTTTGAAAGAAGACTAAACCATTTTTTCAGCTTTCCTTCAGTTGGTAGACGTTATTAATAGTCACCACAATGAAGATATTCGACATAAAGGATTTCGTCAGCAGAGCATTGAGCGGGTTGCTGCACTACTTAGTGTCATATCAGGTTTGGAACATCTATAGCTCACTAAATTTGGCCAGAAATATGTTGATGTCTTTAATATAATATATTTTTTTTGTCATCATTTGACTGAATGTTCAAGCATATGTTTTTAAAAACAAATCAGTGCACACATTACACAGTTTTTTTTTTGGCATTTCTAAATAATTATTAAAGTTTGTTACTTATACTTATAGTTGATATCAGTAGATATTTCTTTTTGTTTTAAACTGAAGTGTACAATATTAAGTATAACTACATATGGAAATTATATTTTGTGTTTCAGAAATCCCAACATGTTTAATCAAACACATCAGTGGAGATGGCTGTAAGGATGTTCTAAGGACATTAGCTTCCTCTCACAAATGGCAGTTGCTGAAAAGTTTGACTAAACAGTTTCAGTTAGTCAGGGGTGCTAAACCATTGTCAGATTTTGCTAAATCCATTTCTTTATTAGATGTCGTCAATGCAAGGGAAATAATGCAAAATAAGTCAGAAGCTGAATTAACTAAAATAGAACTAATTACCTTATTTTTAAACTATGGGGCTAAAGTACAAGAGGACACCTCACTAGAAGCATTGGAAATCTGCATGAAAAATTCAGAATGGAAGGTTAGTCTCATTCATCATTTACATTCTTGCACCAGTCATGTCAACTGATTGCTTGTAAAAGCTAATCAATTATTAATTGAATCATGATTGTATAATCAGGATTGAGTATAAAATTTTGTTTGTATTTATAATGTAAAGACCCTCTATTTTAACACTGTTTAATGGTAAAGTTTTCCACTGTTTTCAGTTAGTCTTGCTACTTTTAATGGTAAAGTTTTCTACTGTTTTCAGTTAGTCTTGCTCCTTCTAGATATTGGAGCGAATCCTAAAGGGATTACTTTGAACCCTAAAGACACTCCCAACCATGCTGCCTTACAAGTTGCACTTTTTAAAAAACCAGGTATTTGATAAGTTTATTTTTGTTGACTTCATAGAAGTGAGTATACTGTCCTTCCAGTAAGCCAGCATTTTTTTTTTCACTTTGATGTGTGCCTCCCAAGACTAGTCCAAAGATTACCACAATGTATGCACCATTTAGTGCTTACTTTAAATGACACTAGAGGTTTCATATGAATTTATCATATAACGACTGAGGATGTAGTACTTGATCATCTCAATCCTGTTAGTCTTATTGCTAAAATTAAATGAATGTGTCAGCCCTCCATTTATCCTTACTACATTCTTTTGCTCCAAAGCAACCTTAATGTTACAAAATGTATGCTTTTGTGATAATCTTACATTTTTTGTTGTTGCTACAATTACATTTCAATTGCAGTAACTATTCTATCCCTGGATAACAAGTGATAAACATTTGAATTATCTCTTTCATATATGTTTCTATTCTGTAGATAAACTTTATCATGACACTTTGCTGTAACGTCATTGAAATGGCTTGGTTAAATTTTTTAAATGATAATGTTTTGACAGGCGATTTCACCATCTTAGAGAAGTTACAATCTCTGTATGAAAGTGACAGGAAGAAATATCCATACCTGAATATCTCATGTCAAGATCAAGATGGAAACACACTGCTGCATGTAGCTGCTCAGGTGTGTGGGGGTACACTTTTGTGGGTGTCCTGTCTACATCATTCACTGTACACTTTTGTGGGTGTCCTGTCTACATAGTTCACTGTAAACTTTTGTGTGTGTCCTGTCTACATAATTCACTGTACACTTTTGTGTGTGTCCTGTCTACATAATTCACTGTACCCTTTTGTGGGTGTCCTGTCTACATCATTCACTGTACACTTTTGTGGGTGTCCTGTCTACATCATTCACTGTACACTTTTGTGGGTGTCCCGTCTACATAGTTCACTGTACACTTTTGTGTGTGTCCTGTCTACATAGTTCTCTGTACACTTGTGTGTGTGTCCTGTCTACATAATTCACTGTACACTTTTGTGGGTGTCCTGTCTACATCATTCACTGCACAACTTGTTTGCTGTACCATGCCTATCTACACAATTCACTGTACCTGTGTGTGTGTGTGAAAAAGTCCTGCATACAAAATCATGGTATAATTTGTGTGTGATTTGTTAGTCCTGCTTACTAAATGAGCTATTTATTAAATGGCCTGCATTTGTTGTGTGTAATGATTAAATGTTTGATTATCAGGCCAAGTTTTCCCAGCATTCATTAAGAGCTATAGAAGTCCTATGTGGCAACCATGCCCCAGCCAATGTAGAGAACAAAGAAGGGAAGCTGCCTGTCCACTATCTGTCAAGTAAAACAGACAGGCGAGCACAGTACTTGTGGAATGTTATGAGTGAGGACAAAATCACAACAGCACAAAAACCAATTGTGTTTCCAAAAACCAGTGAACCAGATGAACCAGGTAAAAGCCAGGAATAAAAATAATTTTTTCCATGTTTATTCTTTTTAATAATTTTTTTAATAACAATATTGTTTCATGTTTATATGTTTTTATAATTTCTTTAATAACAATATTGTTTCATGTTTATCTATGTTTTTATAATTTCTTTAATAACAATATTGTTTCAACTGCAGATCCACAGACAAAACCTGCAAAACCTACCAAAAAAAAGGAGACAAGTACAAAAAATGTTCAGGTACTAAGCAGAATTTTTTCGATCTCTGCCACCAATACTTAATAAGCAGGATTTCTTTCACTTTTGCTATGAATCTTTAATTTAAAAAAATAAATAATTTTAAAACTAAAATGTTTTCTTGAATTTCAAAAATATTATAAATTATGAGGTGTGTGTAATGAAGGATTGAGCGGTCAACACTCTGCCCAGCCCCTTTACTTTCTAGGTATCCATCAGAGCTGGACTCAGAGATGTCCTTCAAACACTCAAACACTCGTTCAAACCAGAGACTTTTGAGTTAGCCATAGAGCGGGAGATAAGGATAACGTAGGGATAGGGAGATGGACGGATATAACTCTAATATGTATTAAGTATTCTGCGGGGGGGGGGGGGGGGAAAGAAGGAGGATTACCTGTGGTGAGTTAATGTCTATGACTGTATGAATAATTAATTCAATTAATTTTTTAGTCTTGTAGGGAAGAAGCTGAAGTGCTGTTGAACAATTTACCTGTTGTAAACTACAACCTCCTACTAAATGAAAATAAAAAGAAGAAAGAAGTTGACCAGCATGAGTCAGATGATGATGAGGAAGATGAAGGCTCGAGTGAGGAGTCACAGAAAGATGAGCTAAGTAAGACTTTGTAAGGGATATCTTAGAATTAACTATGAAAGGTGTCTTGGATATCACATTAAATCAAATCTATATTTTTTTAAAAACTGCTTGGTCATGACAACATCTACACTTATACTAAATGCAAGTTTTTAATGAATAGATTATGAAGCAGAGGAAATAAAACCCACAGAGTATGAAGATGAGTCTGACATTGATGTTGAAGCATTTGATAGTTTAGAATGGGAAGTAGAATGTACAGGTATGTGTCTTCATTTTATTAACCACTCTATTATTCTTGATTTGAATTGATGTAGCTACTATTAATACTGTAAATGTATTTTATATTTAGATGTTAATGAAAGTAAAATTGGATATTGATTGAAATATTTGTTTTTCAAAATCAAAACAAATATTCCTTACTTAATTTTTATTTTTATCTACTGTGAATGGACAGCTTCTTACCTATAATCATTCTTTGAAAATAATTTTTTGTATAATTGTCATGGCTTTCTATTTTGGAAATAAGCTCATCTTCTAAATCTTATCTTTTAGTAAATGTTTATCATGGACTAAACATAAACAAAGAATATTTGTTTGTCTGCTACATGATAACTAAGCCCTACTCATAAATGACTATATTTCTAGAGGAAGTCTGGAGTCTGCTGAGGAGTAAAAAGAAGGAAGAAAAAAGTGAAAATCACAGCAGTACAGGGAAGTCTAAAAAGGAAAGGCTTTCTGACCCCATGAAAAAATTTATTGTAAAGAAAATCCAGCAACTAGCATCTGGGGACTGGAAGCCATATCTACTGGTAAGCTGATGCAGTCATCTCCCATCATGCAATTTTTATAAAAAAAACCTTTTAAATGTAAAAGCAGAGATAAAATTTCAAATTTCTGTTTCTTTTTTTGTTTATATTAAAGAAACATTTTATAAAACAAGTACATTAATTACCGTTGTATGTGTTTGATAAAAATAATTTTTTCTAACAAAAATTGCAGTGTAAAGTCAAGGGTGTTCCAAGTACACTGCACCTTTTTACAATTTCATTACCACAAGGTGGTTGCATTATCTGGGAGTTAGCCATTGCCTTTTCCCCTCGACGCAGTGAAATAGCGGAAAAGTTACTAGAATATGAAAGTGGAGATGCTGGCGCAGAAATAGCTGGAGGGAAAATTTATTCAGAATTAATACGAGTCTGGAATATTGTCTTAAAAAATGCAGATTTCCCACGTTGTGTGCATAAAATTGTCAGTTCTCATCAACGTGGAGAAAGTTGTATCATTCAGGTGACTATGAATACATTATTTTCTTGCTGACAACTAAAATGTTCATTATCATAGTTGTTAAGAAAAGAATTGATCAAACTTCAACTGCTTTAAAACAAAATGTTTTAACTGTTTTTGTCTAAAATGTTTCACTGTTGTATAAAAAATATTTCAGAAAAGTTTAGCTGGTTTGTCCAGTTCAGTTCTCACAAGTTCAAGCTCCGCATCACGGATCCCAGTGTTGTTTTTTGAGAGTGAACGACAGCAAGCTGTGGTGGAAAAAACTTCTCGCTACTTCCCACCAGCAAGTTCACATAAAAATGAATTTCATATTCTCAAGTTTTATTCATTTTCTTCATCTCTTGTAGGAGCTATTTTAAGCAAATCAGACCTCAAGGTATTTGATTAAAATATGTTTTTATTTAGCTTAAAAGAGTAAATCAGTAAAAAATATTTAACATTAAAAAAATCCCTAATTTTGTGTGTGTAAGCTCTGATAAATGTACACTTTTCTGTAGATTGACTTCCCTTTTCGAGTGACTGACCTGGAGCATGCTATTATTAACTTGGACTCCCAGTCTCCTCTGTTATTGCTGGGGCGTAGTGGAACAGGCAAGACTACTTGCTGCTTGTACCGCTTGTGGGCCATGTTTTTGTGCTACTGGGAACAGGCAACCAAGTACAATGCCCCTCTCTTGTCCAGATACCTTTCTGAAGCTGGTGAAGGTAATTGAACTTTCTAAGATTTTTGTACACATTTTATTGGTCCATAGTGTTTGTTTAGCTTGTCAGAGTTGTTGACAGTGTATATTGAAATTGACGACTAACTTAAATGCATCTTCTAAAATTGAAGCCCAGCATGTAAAATACTACCTAAAAATGTACAAGATTCTACTAAACTGTTTTAAATACTGTATTCTGTATTGAAGACTGCAAACATTTTTTTTTACAAAAAATGGCCATGTGTTAGAATTGTGGCATGTAGAGATGCCTGTTGTTGCTATACCTTAACAAAAAACTTCTTTTCTGTTTTCTAATTGACTGGTGAATTGTAAACTTTGTTTATTGTGTTTAATACATTAGTAGGCTACCTGTCTTTTTAGGACTTTGTATTGTTTCTATTCTTCACATCCAAATGTTTAATTTTAATGGCTTTTCAAAACTTCAATATGGCAATGGATTAATTTTTAAATTGTTGTGTAACAATTCTTGTTTTTGTTGAATGAATGAACACAGTGGAGGACACACAACAGGCTGTGGCTGCAATAAAAGCTGAGAAAGTTGAAGAAGCCCAAGAGGTAAAGGAGGACATAGGGGATACATTAGATGAAGCAGAAGATGTAATATATGAACACCTTCATCAGGTAATTCACTTGTCAGTTCAACAAGTATGTGATATATTTACACCATCATATAATGTCAGATCAGTAATTGTACTACAGACATTAACACATGTAATTTCTATTTAAAACTTCTCCAGCTGTTTGTAACAAAGAACCCTGTGCTGTGTACAGAAGTAGAAAAAAACTTCCTCAAACTGCGCCATGCTACAAATATACTACATGAACACAATGCTGTTCCAAATAATCCTTTGCCGAACACCTTACAGGTAAAAAAAAATTAAATAATAGAGACTTAAAACTAAATTACAATTTTTTGTCATTGAAATAGAAAGTAAAAAAATGGAGCTGGTCATTGCTGATTCTCTTCTCCAGGATGTGGATGACTTCTCTTACCCTTTGTTCCTGACATCCAGACAACTTTTGTTGATGCTGGATGCTTCCATTGATGGCCAGCCATTTTTCCCCCGGGATGAAGATCTTGCATTAAAGTTTCCCATACCTGGATGGGGAACCCAGGAAGATATATTTAACATCATTCCTCTGATGCACGACTTCTTCGACAGCTCTGATGAAGAGGATGATGATGGTAAATTGGACAAAACAAAAATCAATTAAATAATAATTGTCTTTAAAATCTCTCTGACGGGAATTAGGACAGATCAGAATAAATATATGTACTTATCCCAAACCATGCCAGAGTCCATAGAATATCCTAGAGTTATCCAGCTTTAGCAAGTATCAAATTAGTAAGGAAAGGTGGCAGAACATAGTGCTGATTTTCATAGTTCAGAGACTTAGTAACAGCTGAATCTACTTTATCTAAATTTTTTTTTACTTTTACCTCTTATCTCCAAAAAGTAGTTTTGTTGCTTGCATTATTTTGTGTATGTCTGTAGACCCAGGGAAAGCCAAGAAAATCAAAACAGCCCATCAACCAGCACCTGAGGTCAACCTAAAGGCTAAAACAGATCTGAGAAGAGAATGTACTTACGAAGTGTTTGCCTATGAAATCTGGCCTAAAGTCAGCAAAAAAACAAATGTAATTTTGTTCGGCTATTTCTGTTAACTGTATTATTTGCTCATGTTGTTTCAAAGTTTAATGTTGGGGGGGGGGGGGGGTGTGTTACTGGATTATTTCTATTATTAAAAAATATTAAACTGTAATTTCTTAATAGCTATACAAATTATAAATTTTTATCAAATATAAAATTGATGCTCAAATGTGTCTTAAAATAATACAGTTAAAAGAAATTTTCTCTTTTTATTTTTTAGATAAATTGTCACCCTTCACTAGTATGGACTGAAATCATGTCTTTCATCAAAGGATCTTATGAAGCTTTGTACACAGAGAAAGGTTACCTAGACAAAAACCAGTACTTAGATTTGGGCAGGAAAAGAGCCCCCAATTTCAGTGGTGACAGGTCCCTGGTTTATGAAGTGTTTTTACGCTATGACAACTACAAGCAGCAGCACTTCCTGTTTGATGAGGCCGATTTTGTATTCAGAGTCTACACCAGGCTCAAGCAGGCAAGTTGTTGATGTGGATTACAATTACACTAATATTTAATTGGAACTTAATTAAGGTAGATTTATTTGGATTAGTATGAATTTATTTCTGTCACAAGTATGCTGTCAGTGGGTAATATTTAGTTAAAATTTTTAAATAAGAATGGGACGCTGGCAGAGCACACTATTACTAACCAAAAAGTCTATAGTTTGGTTCATGGCTTGAAACATAGGATCCTCTGTAGTCGACCTAGATATGTAGATGAGTTTTTTTAAAAAGCAACTGGGTATAGTTCTGACCACACTATTGCTTTGTAGAGGCAAGAAAAACAGATGGGACTTCCCCATGGACCTTCAAGTCACTAAGCAACAGATTATAAAAATGTATAAGAATTATTTCATTATGCAAATCTTTTGTCCATTACATCCTAGCAATGTGAGTGTGTACATTTCTGTCTATTAGATGGCATACTACCCATGGATCTTGCATGAAATATATGTGGATGAGACACAAGACTTCACACAAGCTGAACTGGCGCTGCTGGTTTCCCTTTGTCATGATCCAAATAAAATGTTCCTAACAGGAGACACAGCCCAGGGCATCATGAGGGGAATATCCTTCAGGTTCAAGGACCTGCAATCTTTATTTTACTTTGCCAAGAATAAAGCTAAGGAAAATGAGAAATATCTAGCTGAAATCAAGGTAACATTTTTTAACACGTTTTTTTTAACTCAGCTTCGCGTTTGTGGGTTTGTTGTTAAAATTGACAACAAAAATTAGCCCACTTCTGATTGCCCTAGACATCTGAAATTCGGCATGCAGGCTATTTTCGCCTAACAATTTCAGATGCAATCATAAAAACTAGCAATTAGAGACCTAAATTAGCTTAATTAAATTACGCCCCAAGGACCCTAAAATTGAGGACATGATTTCTAAAGATACCGACAAGACTGGAGGCCTATTGACACAGTTACTTCGGCCCCCAATCGATGTGAGCGCGCTGGCCGTGATTGTATAGTGGTTAGTACTTTGCGTTGTGGCCGCGACAACCCAGGTTCGAATCCTGGTCACGGCATGTAGGCTGCTGTGGGTCTCGCACTGCCAAGCTCAGATAACAACTTCAGATGCAATCATAAAAAACTAGCAATTAGAGACCTAAATTAGCTTAATTAAATTACGCCCCTTCTCTGTTTAAAGCGTATCGGTCGCTCAAGATTTTTAGTCCGTGTATTTAAAAACACTTAGTCAAGTCATACTTAATCAAGTCATTAGATAAAGTAGAAAATAAACTATATAAAAAACTATTTAAAAACCACGTTTTTCATGTGTAGCAACGGACTAAAAAGGAGAAAATAAAATACTTAAAAAAAACTTTTTAAAAAACCACGTTTTTCTTGTGGACTAAAAAGTAGAAAATAAATTTTTCTTCCGACCCTAGGGGATCTACCAATGACTGCTCGTAGATTTTGTGCTTCCTCGAGCTGTGCAGGTTCTTGTGATGACTGTTCATACATTTGATGACAAAAACTGTGGGTCGGGCAGATTTATGATTAAAGCGAAAAGCACACAACACACGAATTTTGGAAATTTGATGGTGAACGTACCCACGTTTTTTGTCATCAAATGTATGAACAGTCATCACAAGAACCTGCACAGCTCGAGGAAGCACAAAATCTACGAGCAGTCATTGGTAGATCCCCTAGGGTCGGAAGAAAAAATTATTTTCTACTTTTTAGTCCACAAGAAAAACGTGGTTTTTTAAAAAGTTTTTTTTATTGTGTGGTTCAGTCTTTGAAACCCATATTTTTAAAAAAAAATTATTAAAAAATTAAAGAACAGATAACCTGCTCCTTTATACAGTTGGTGGTTGTACAAGTCACCCAGCAGTCAGGTTGTTTTGTTGATTAACCTGTTTCTACTTTTTGAACCAACCACAGGTCCCACAGAAGGTTCACCAGCTGAGACACAACTACCGCTCTCACACTGGCATCCTGTCCTTGGCCTCTGCTGTTCTGGACATTTTGATGGAGCTTTTCCCTGAGTCTTTTGACCAGCTGGAGAAGGATCAGGGCATGTTTGCTGGACCAAAGCCTGTCATTATAGAGTCTTGTAGTCCAGGTATGTTCTTGTATACCAATCTCACTGACTGATTTCTATCATATCCTATCACCTTTATCATTTTGTTGACCCCTTGTGGAGCATAGTGATGTAACCACGCCTCTCCATTATACTCGGTTTTGGGCGATTTTTCCAAATTGGGTCCATAACATTCTGGCTGCTTCTGCTTCACTGACAACAGATCTTTGTCAGAAGATTTACTAGCTTTCCAAAGGCTTTCATTAACATACACCATAATCTCTACAAGAGAGGAATCTTCATTCCCAAGCTCCCATTGGTTTTCTGTAGTAGGTTATTTTTATGGGGAGGGTTGCTAGCCCTACGCCCAACCATACTTCTTTATACAGGCTTTGTCTTTCTCACCTACTCTCTGGCATCATGCCTTGTAGAATTTTCTTTGAAAAGCCATTTGATTATGTCACATGTCATTACAATCTGAGTTTTTCTTGACCTTGGCAATGTGCTACGGAAATCTTTAAAAGGTCTGATCACCTAATTTGTAATATGATCTATGTATAAAATCCATAGTCACTACAAAGTGATTCATAACTTAAACCAGTAGACAGCAAAATTGCATGCCTGCAGTCAAAATGTTTGAAAAAGTAAATAAACTGCTAACATATCTGGTCTTTGTGTGTGTTACTCAATACAATGACTTAAACCTAGGCCTATATAAAACTGATATTCAGTTTAGTTGTGTATGGAAAATTTGAAGAAAAGAACTGTATAAAAACTTCTATTTGTTGTTGTTGTTAATGAAATATGTAGAGTTGTATTGTTTGATTAATCTGGGATCCTCTTCCATTTTGTAGAGGATCTAGCCCTGTTGTTGACTGGCAACAGGAGGAAGACATCCCACATTGAGTTTGGGGCACACCAGGCCATCTTGGTTGTCAATGATGAAGCCAAGGAACATCTGCCAGAAGAATTAAGCACCGCAGTTGTTTTAACCATCTACGAATCAAAAGGGCTGGAATTTGATGATGTTCTTATCTACAATTTTTTCAAAGATTCTCAGGTCACTTAACATTATTATTTTATGTTATGATTTTTTGTCCACATTAGATCTCGATTATAAAATTGTATTGTTTTATTTTAAACTTGACTTTGAAAAAATATTTTCTAAAGTCAGGTTTACAAAACTAAGATAATGTACTTCCATATGCAAGAAAGCATCAGTTCCTGGTTGTGTAATGTTAACTTCTGATATTCCAGGCTAAAAAAGAGTGGCGTGTGGTTACTTCATACTTAGAAACATTAGCAGCAAACGTGAAACAACAGAGCAACGATCAGGGCCTTGTTGAAATAAACGCAGGTATTGAGGACTTTCTTTATCATTCATACCTCACTGACAATGTTTGTATTAAAAATGATTGTGACTAAAAAGAAAATTGTTGTTTCAGAACTTCTACTTGAACCCAGCCACCCCAGACCTATTGAGTTTAACCCTAGTCAGCACAAGCTCTTGAATTCAGAGCTCAAGCAACTGTACACAGCTCTTACTCGTGCTAGGGTTAATGTTTGGATATTTGATGAAGATGCTGAGAAACGTGGGCCAATGTTTGAATACTTCAAGGTCCTAAAGTTGGTTGACTGCATAGGAAACACAGAATCAGACACAATCAATGATGGTATAAATATTTTTTATATAGTTTGGTGAAACTTCATTTTCAAGCTAAACTAAAAGTAGAGTTCAATATCAATTTAAAGTTAAATCTTAAAATTTATAAATTTTATGTAGCTTTGAACGTGTATGCCTTTTTATAACTTTGTAACTTAAAAAAAAATTTTAAGCACCAGGAAACAAAAGTAAAATTTTTGTTTATCTTGGTTGAATCACTGTGTCATTTAGTGTAATCTTTATTGTAATCACACTAGAAAATAGTATTACTTTAAAAACTAAACAAAAAAACGGAGAAAACTTGTCGTTAAGAATGTAGACTATTGGAATGCCACAAGTGTCCTTTTGATCAGCTTCCTCTGTCCCCATCTTCAGTGCCTCTGATGTTATCTCCCCATCCTTCCTTTAGCCTGGCACTGCTCTATACATGTAGCTTTATAGTCATTTAATACTCCTGTTAGTTTTGAAGATTTGTATGTATGGAGATATCTTTAGTGCTGAGGGCTAAGTTTTTATCTATCCATAAAACATTGAGTCTTGCAAGTGCAGCGGTGGCCTGCACATTGCTGCAAGGCAGATCAGGTCTGGTTATTTCACCCAGATATTTCAAGCTTTTCACAATAGGTTACTTCTCTATTGATGTGGATAATGAAAGCATCAGCAGTAAAGTGAGTCTATGATTCCCACAGATTTGATGTTTGCTGAAACCTCCAGCATGGTGGAGTGGAAGTATGCTGGTGACAACTACATGAAGCAGCATCTTTACTCAGTGGCTGCCAAGTGTTACAGGTAGTCTGAGGGTTTTTTCTTTCTCTAATTACCTGTTACAAGTTTTCTATTACATGTCCCATAATTAAACTGCTCTCATACTTTGTTTAGTTTATAGATTAGTACAAATATTTATCTTTAAAAATTAACTCCTAAATAAGATTTAGCAATAATATTCCACCTTACAAGTTAAAAAAAAAATTATTATTTAAACAGTTATTTACAGTTTGGCCTAAAGCTCCTGATTAAAATTAGATAAGCATTACTAATACATAGTTTGTTTATGGAATATGAGTTGCCAGATAAAATAATTGCTGATAATTTAGGAAAGCTGAGTTGCCAGACAAGGAGAAACTAGCATTAGCCTACCAAACAGCCCTGGAAGCTTCAAGGTTGAAAACTTCTCCAAAAGAAATGCGTGATAAATACCTGAGGGCTGGTAACCAATTTTTGAAGTGTGGAGATTTGCACCGGGCTGCTCTCTGCTTTCAGAACTCTAGAGATTATTCCCTCGCTGCTTTAGCTTATGAAAGAAATGGAGAGGTAGATCATATTTTCATTACTGAAGTCCTAGGTTGTTGTTATAATAATCCAATAACAAGATGCTAAAAGTTGACACTTTAGGCTAGGTATGTGCATGTTACACAAACCATAATCTGATCCAACTAAGCAACTTTATGCTAATTACACAATTTTAAACTGCTACTGTTCTTGACATACATAAAGTGAAAAAAAGAAAAGATTTATAAGGTAATAAAAATCTTTAATATTATAGCAAATATTTTATTTGGTTCATATGCAAAATTTAATTAATATTTATTTTTTTAATGTCAAAGAATACTGTAGGCTTATATACTATCTTGTCTTTATTTTCATTCAGCTCTTTTACTATCTAATGGTTATAATTAGCTGTGAGTATATTAACATAGTAAATGATTATGTCCATGTTTAATTACATAGATTCTATATCTATTTATAGTTTGAGGAAGCTTCTGTCCAGTACAGACGAGTCCAGAATACTCTAGAAGAATCTCGATGTCTGGAACAGATTGGGAAGTTTAATCGTGCTATACGTGTCCTGGTGGAAAAGAAATTTTTTGATCGAGCTATTGACTGTTTGCACAGATATGACATTCTAATCAATGTAAGAATCATTTTGTTGTCTTCAGTAAAAATAACAAACTTACTCATTATTAAATTTTAGTTCTTGTAGTTAATTTAGTAATTATTTAGTACATATTTTTTATGAACTTGATTTTAAAATGTCAATACTATTTCTAGAAATTGAAACAAGAAAAAAAGGTTATTCCAGCAGTTCTGTTAGAGAGCAAACCAAGTGACACGTACTCTGAGGAGCGACTGTGTTATAGGTAGAGTCTTTTCTTAAACATTGTTTCTCAATAACAAAAACTAAATTAGAGCTGAAAATGTGCAAGAACTCAAATTTTATTTTAAATAAAAATTAATTTTAACAAGTGTACAAAGAGAATAAAAAAATCTTTACTTTTAACTATTTACAATTTAATTTCCCACAACTTGGTCAGTGCTGCTGAATATCACCATGAACTTAATGACAAGAGCAAAACATTGGCAGCCATTCACCGTGTCAAGGACAAAGATGTACAGATCAACTTCCTTCAGAAGAAAGGATATCTGATAGAAGCTGCTGAAATTATGAGGAAAACAGGTAGGGCTTTTTTTTTGGTCATTTAATTTCAGAGTAATTTCCTTCCAGAAAGAAGATACATTAAAATTCGGAAATTATGAGGAAGCTGGATTGGTTTATTTTTTATTATTTGGGCTCACTAAAAACATATACCTTGTTGGTTATGGAAATGAGATTCTTCTAAAAGAGACTGGGAATCACATAAAATTTCTTCTCCATTGATGACAGAATGCAAAAGTTGATCAAGCATCATGAAGATCTTTGGACAGTTAAAATAACAAACTAGGATCATTTGACAATGTAATCAGGACTTGCAAAGATTTTCCTGCTAGACAATATGCCGGGCAAAAGATGCAGGCAAAAGAAATGGTGGGAAGATAACATCATAGTCATTTTTTCCTGTTGGTGGTCAGGACACACAGAGAAAGTTCTTTCCATTTTTCCCAGTCTCTGGAAACTTTCTTGGCTATCTGGCTGTTCATCTTCATGTCCCTGGGCCTACACTGTCTTCCCTTATGGCATCCACTTAAGTGCCATTGCTGTAATTTCATCAGGCCTCATCCTCAGTAGTTGCCCATTCAACATGCCATTTATGCTTCACAGGCACTTAGTTTGGAAGAAGTCCAGTAATTGTCTTGTAGCACTGGTTTTTTTCCTCCAGCATTCCCTGCCATACTAAAGGACACTAAGAACATAATTAATGGATAAGTCTAACACTGGGTGAGACACTGAAGATAGCTGGGGATGGAGAGGCAACTGGTCAGCAGGACATGTGGCACCCCAATGGAAAGCTAGTCAAAAGTTTCACTTGATTACGCTAGAAGCACATAATCTGATATTGCAGCTGTATACCACAGATTTTTTGTGCTAATTACCCCTTACCCATAGTAAATATAGCCATATTTAAATAATGTAAATATACTGTGGTCTTTCATGAACCATTGTTTAGCCATTTAAAAGATACAAATAAAACTATCTAGTGTACCGAACCCACAAGATGAGTGTCATAAAACCAACACTTTCCACCAAATATGACTTAGAGCCAAATTTATCTACCTGTTGTTCTAGCTATACATACACAGTTGAAGTTGCTCTTGGTGCAAGGGGTCACTTATATCTCAAGACCATGTTATTATTTTCTTCTGACTTTGTAGCTATTGACAAACATTCCTAATGGAACAAACCTACTTTATATTATCAACAAAAAAAATCTAAGATTGGATCAATGGCTTGCAATATTCTTTGTGTTTCCATAAAACAAGGTGACACAGAACAAGCGGCAACTCTGATGCTGATGACTGGTGAGACAGACAAGGCTCTGGAGTATGCCAAGGATGGATTGCACAAGGACTTGATTGGACAAATACACCTAGTGCTTGCCTTCAAATATGAAACACATGAACAGTTTGACATAGTAAGTTACTTCTTTTAATCTTGGAATTTGGTTAATTTTTAAATTTTTTGTTGAAAAGTTTTTAAAATTATTATTACCCATTTTATTTTGCTAGGAAAAGTTAAAAGAACATGCAAACAAAGCACTGGATGTCTATATTGAACAAACAGACAAAAATGGACAAGCCATGGCTAATTTAATTCTAGGCAAACACACAGCAGATCCCAAGCGAATCAATAAAGGTGTGTTGACAAGCTTAGGTCACCGTGATTTTTTGTTTTGTTTTCGTGGAATTCCGTACATTGACTTTGACCCATTTCTCTCAGAACAGTTTCTTTCAAACTTTGCAGTAGTTCTAATGACAGTTTATTATCTTAATTTAAATCTTATTTTTAACTAGTCATTAATAAATTGATTGAATAGTAGAAACTATAACAAAATGGGAAATAACTGGGTAGCAATAATTGGTAAAAATGTCAAGGTTTTTTGTAGTAATATGACATCTTTTTTTGTTAGCACTTATTGCCTGTGGCAGATTGGACTAAATTTGATATTTTTATGTGGGAGAAATCTCAGCTTATGTTTATTTTATCATGTAACCAAAGCAGAATATATATAATGTATAAACACCTGATATGATGTTTTTGATTTCAGCAATGAAAAAATTTGGAGCTAAGCCACTGAATGAAGCAGGTAAATTAGAAAGTTTTGCTGCTCTCATGGAGATTGGAGAAAGTCTGGCCACATTGGAGGATTGTTATCAGGTTTTGAGGAACATCACCCTAGGACTGGCTGTAAGTCAACTCACTTTAGATGCATGTAATATATGGATGTCTATTTAACAATCAGGTTGAAATATTATATATATAATATAATTTTATATATATATATTATATTATATCATTCATGATTTTAAACTTTTCATTGTGAACCATCAGTTTTTATACCTATGAATTACCACCATTTTAATTGAACTATGAGTTTCTGATACGTAGGAAGTACCAACATAAGCTATGAGTATATCTGGAGCTGCATGTTTTGCCTGTCATGTTGCAGGTGGTGGAGATGTTACTGAGCACCAAGCCAGACAAAAGTGAGCAACAGCGCCTGTTTTTACACTTCTATGGCATGCGTGTGGACTCTGAGAAGCAGCAAGTCAGCTGGCACCCCCTGGAGTACCCCATGTGTGGCAGGTTCATGGACCAGCCCACAGACTTGGAGCAAAACAAGGCTGTTACGGTGGACAGAGAGGAGGTTTCTGCTTTAACTTTATACATACAAGCTGCAAACTAAAACCTACTCAACGCTTGTCATTTTCTTTTTCAATTAAACTTCAATAAAATTACACAGAATATGTTGATATGAATAACCAAAAAATTTAATTATGTGTAAAATTAAATTCAAGAAATTATATACTTGGACCAGAGTTAATTATTACACAATTTTACTTAAAACAGTATTATATCATTCCATTTTAGAAGATTTAAAAACTTTCAAGATAAAAGAGCGTAATTATCCCGAAATTAAAAAAATGAAAGGAAGAGAAATAAAAGCTTTAAAGTTTCATAGAATTAAATATAATGTGTTTCATAATTTCTTCTGTCAACCATTGTTTTATAGGCAACAAAAAAAGTGGCTAACTATATCAGTGTAAAGATTTACTCGTGGGTGGACAAGATAAAATCTCAGCTAGACAAGCTGAAGCCACAATATGTCCCATGCAGAAACTACATAGAGGGGCGCCAGTGTGATCTGGTTGACTGTAAATTTACGCACAAACTCATCACACAAAAAGAAGAAGAAAGAGAAGCTTTCAAATTTTTCTCTTGTTGTGTAAGTTAATTTTTTGTTACTTCACTGCAGTCTTTTTTTTTTCTTTTTTTAATTTAAAATAATTTATGTTCATTTCGAGTAGCTTTTATTGTGTTAGTTTCCCACCAATTCAATGTTTTCCATGTGTACACCAGAAATATGAGATGGTGAATAGAAAACAAATGTGTCAAGAAGCTTTCATAATATGCAAGGTTGTAAAATAACATTAGCTACTTGCATGGTCATATAACATCAGCTACTTGCATGGTCATATAACATTAGCTACTTGCATGGTCATATATTAGCAACAGGCTCTATTTTAGATCTGATTGATTGACTTCCAGGTGCAGCTGGACTACTGCCTACAAACTGGTCTAGAGAAACTGGACAAGGAGAGTAGAGCTAAGATCTCCTTGAATGGGTTCACCTTTAGAGATGCCGAGTGGCTGTCAGTGATAGAACTGCTTGATCTGCTGCTGCCAGTCATGCACCCACCTACAAGAGCTAGCCAAGACTATGTTAACAATTTGATGAAAAGTTTACACAAAGACTGCAGGGCACAAGTATCAAGGTAACTTAACTGGGGTAAAATGTCTACTCTTTAAAAAAATTATTATTTTAGTTTTTTTTTAAAACAACTGAATTAATCAATCAAAGCACAAATAAAAATTTTAGTTTTATGTTTTGTTGTCATTGAGTTTTCTTCTGTGTGATGAAAATATACAAAGTGTGTTTTCCAGACAAAATATTAGTAAAAATTAGGGCCCACCCAATGGGAAAACTGCTTTGTTTTTGCTGGAATTAACCTCCATTATTCTCTAATGTTCTACCAGCATGTAAGGACAGCTGTGGCATGATGTAACAGACTTATTGTCTGCTATAAGATTTGGGGAAAATTTTTTGTTTTATCATAGGACTCCACAAAGGTTACAAGATGCAGATAAACTATATGTTGGCTGCATGATCTATATATATATATATGTGGCACGCTTTAAGTTGATTGTAGGAGGTGGTCGGGTCGGTTAAGCTCAAGGTCGCTGAACCAATAAGTCCCGAGTTTGAACCCCTGGCAGATGAGGCTCGATAGCTGGGGACAGCTACTCATCTAGGAGAGACAACTCCAAAATCAAACAACTGCTGCCTTGTAGTTTGTTCTTGGTTGGACAAAGGCTATGGAAGCAAATCCGAAAAGAAAAGCAGGCTGAAATCTGAATCAATGGCCAAAATGGCACATAACCAGTTGACACGTATACTTAATTGTGTTGGAGGGAATTCCTTTCAACACTAAAATTAAGAACAAAGAAGAAGAAGATGCTATTGTATAAAGCTGCTTAAGTTTGAATCTGTCTGTCATGAGTTTTTATTTTACATGTAGATATTTTCATTACTTGTGGTTGAACCAAGGCCGAGTAGGAAAGGGCATATCAAAAAGTCTCCTGAAAGAGCAGTGTAAATCATGTGACTGGATTGTCCAAGCTGCCTTCTACTCTAAGCTACTCGCACTTAAAGATCTTGATGTTGCTCAAGAAGTTCAGAATTTAGAGGTACAATGTTATTTAACTCAAAACAGTTTGAAGATTACAGACAGTTTATAATTTATTTCACAGCGAGGCCTAGCGGTAGAAAGCTAGACTGCTTACCAGAGAATCTCGAGTTTGAATCGGGGTTCAAATTCAGTGGAACGTCCCTGAGTCCACACAGCTCTGATGGGTACCTAACTTACGTTTGGGAAACAGAGGCAGCTGGGCGTAGTACTGACCACACTATCCATTCATATGCCGAGGTCTCTGAAGCAGATGGACTCTACTTCATATGATCCATGTGTATTGGGCACAAACTGAAAATGATAATGCTAATTTATTTCAGGGCGATTATCATTTAATGTTGGAGATGGCAATTAGTTCTACATTTCAGTTTAATAGTGGCCCCATCATTTACACTGGCAAACTGTGATACAGACACCAGACAGCTTTGAATTAAAGTCTCTAATTACTGAATGATTTTTTTTGTTTCAGGAGCAGCTAATGAAACTTGAGAAGCCATGGTTTAAAAAGACCAACAAATATGCCCTTCATCCTCCCTATAGAACGAAATCTGGAGAGGTTCTCATTGAAACTCTAGGTGCCCGTTTTGTGGAGTCATTGGAATTTATTGTCTCCCTTGATCCGTATGAAGCCTTGTTCACATTCACAAAGATGCTCAGCTCTCTAGGTTTTCGTGGGCAGAAGAAACTGATGCCAAGACTGGATCATCTAGTCTTCTGGGTTGAATACAACTTTACTGTCAGTTGGTACTTCATAGCACATGTAAGTCCACATAGAGCCTAGTGTATATCTACACATATATGTATGATTAAGTTGACATTTTTAGAACCTGTTAATGTTTTTATACAGATAGCTTCATGTCATGTAAATCTCTAACAGATTAGACCAACGCGCAAAGGTGTTTTTATATTACATCTGTAGCAAATACATGTTCAACCAACTACTCGCACAAGCTAGTCAGAGTTTGTATTAGACTCCAATGAACTTTTGTTACAGCATTGTTGTGGGGGCAGTCAGCCCTTCCCTTTCATCATGACAAGCAATTTGTTTGCCAATGTCAACCTGGTCAACCATTGCCTGGACAACGCTGGACACAAAAACACAATACAGCAGCTGATCTCACAGTACCAGCCACACAAGGTCAAGTTCATGATCAAAAGACAGGATCACATCAGCAACTTTCTTGTGGGCCATAATGAGTTTAGGTAAGTGTTGTGTACTGTACTCTAGAATCAATTAAATGATAGGATCACATCAGCAACTTTCTTGTGGGCCATAATGAGTTTAGGTAAGTGTTGTGTACTGTACTCTAGAATCAATTAAAAGACAGGATCACATCAGCAACTTTCTTGTGGGCCATAATGAATTTAGGTAAGTGTTGTGTACTGTACTCTAGAATCAATCAAAAGACAGGATCACATCAGCAACTTTCTTGTGGGCCATAATGAGTTTAGGTAAGTGTTGTGTACTGTACTCTAGAATCAATCAAAAGACAGGATCACATCAGCGACTTTCTTGTGGGCCATAATGAGTTTAGGTAAGTGTTGTGTGGAACTCCAGTGATGTAACAACTTATTAAAGCAGGTGGGAGAGTTTTAAGACATCTGTAAACAAAAGGTATCGGACAATAGAGCTCAGATTTTAACTGGTTGAATGTAAGCTAGTGCACTTCAAAATAGTTACCATTAAAAAGCTCCTAATTTAAGCTGATTATGATTTTCAAAACCAAGGTTTACTTGTGTGAATCCCAATGATTTGCTTATAGCTGGATGTTAGATCTTTAATTTGATCAAAAATATACAGGCTAAATTGAGCATTTTATAAAAGTTCGTTAGGCCCTTCTACATTTGCCAAGCTAAATAAAAAAATGAAAATAATTACACTAAAAATATTATTAAATGTATTGTATTGATGAGATCTGCATAAAAATAATGTTAAGACTTTATCACTGATTTCAGCAAGTTTAGTCTGATCAACTGCTTTAATGAGATGTGTGCACAAACCCCAGCACAGTATGTTCTGGCTGAACGCATCCTACTGCTAGCCCTGGTCTGTTTGCTCAACATCCCATATGCTGTTATCAATAAAAACTATGAGGTGCAGATCAGGAGAGAGCTATTTAAGGTAACATTTATTGCACACAATTATCTGTTATTTGAGTCATATGAAAACTTTTTTTTTTAATTTATGTGAATTTTTGTATACATACATACAATGCAGCAGTTAATATTGCGATAAAAAGTTATGTTTAGTTTCAAGATATATTTACCACTTCTCCATTCAAATTTGATTTTTAACTATTTAAAAAAAACTTGCAGCTAATTGTTACCAAGTCCATGCCCGCCCCATTGGCCAAACTTGTGAGTCTGGTAAAACAGGCCACAACATTTAAAGATGTCACAGTCGCCACTGAGGATTTTGTCAGGTCACAAGGAGATGTATCCCTGTATGACTGTCAGTGGCTCGGCAGAGAGTCGTGTCCCCTCAAGTGGCAGCCCCTTAAGATAGCAGATTATCCACAGCATGAGTTCATTCATGTCAATCTTAAAGATTTGGCAGAGTCCAGCAATGTCAAGGTCATTTCTATTTTCATTATCTATTCAATTAATATGTGGGATCACTTTGTCTTGTTATTCTATTTGCCAACTCTTATGTTACTTGTTATTCTATTTGCCAACTCTTATGTTACTTGTTATTCTATTTGCCAACTCTTATGTTACTTGTTATTCTATTTGCCAACTCTTATGTTACTTGAAATTCTATTTGCCAACTCTTATGTTACTTGAAATTCTATTTGCCAACTCTTATGTTACTTGTTATTCTATTTGCCAACTCTTATGTTACTTGTTATTCTATTTGCCAACTCTTATGTTACTTGAAATTCTATTTGCCAACTCTTATGTTACTTGAAATTCTATTTGCCAACTCTTATGTTACTTGTTATTCTATTTGCCAACTCTTATGTTACTTGTTATTCTATTTGTCACCTCTTATGTTACTTGCTATTCTATTTGCCAACTCTTATGTTACTTGTTATTCTATTTGCCAACTCTTATGTTACTTGCTATTTTATTTGCCAACTCTTATGTTACTTGTTATTTTATTTGTTACCTCTTATGCTACTTGTTATTCTATTTAACTACCTTTCTCTTATTTTACTCTCCCATTAATGTCATCTTTGAGATTGAAGCATATACCACTCTTTTAATTACCTTCAAAACATCATTTACATTTTAAGGTATTTTCAAAGTTAGCAATTGATTACATTTTCTAACATATATCTGTGGAAATAAATGTTTTTATGAATGAATCATTTCCCAAAAATGAATTGTGTTTGTTATTGAAGGTACAGCCAGTGTATTATCTCCCATCTCATCCAAATCAGTAAGTCTAAGTTCACTTCCTCTCTCCTACAGGTAGCAAGTGTCAGTGAGGTGATGGATGAAGATGATTTGAAGAAATTGGAAGAGAAGAAAAGGGAAATGGAAGCACAAAAATGTGCCCAACAAGACCAGAAATTAAAATTAAAGGTAGACCCTGTATTAAAATTAAATTAAATCCAGTTTTTATCGTGTTGATTTAAATTTTTCTGCATAGTCTCATGTCATTTTCAAATTGTTTTTTATTTACAGAAAATTATTCGCTTCCTAAAAGTGTGTATAATGAAAAACCGACTTAAAAATAAATTGTTTAGAACATTTGAAGTGGAAGAACTGTTTGTTTCATTTGCCAAAAAATCCCATTTTTGTGGCATATGTGGACAGGAGTTGACAGCTGGAGGCATAAGTGGGCCAGAGGTCACAGTTGGAGCTGATTCAAGCACCTTGGAACTTGAAGGTACCATGCCATTTTATCCACAATTTTCTAATTTGTTTTGTTTGTTGTGCTTACATGTAGATTCATTAATTACTTGTAATATCTCAGCACTTGGTTGACATGAGAGCAGTGGAAATAGATCATCACTGATTTTATATTGTTTAACTCTTTACAGTCCAGGCATAAACACGATTTTACTTCTCCTATGTCTAGAATAAAGGACAACGCATATTTTAACCACAAAACTTTTTAAAATATCCACATACACTTAAAAAAAAACCTTTTTAAAAATTAAACAAGCATTATGCAGGAAAATGGTCTAAGTTTATTATTTTTGACATCAAATAGCTTAATAATTTACCACTAATAAATAAAAATAACTTTAATCTCAGAAAAACTTCTAATATTATTTCAATTAAAAATTAATTTTAAATGCTAAAAAAAAATTCAACATAGTCACTGGAGCTACTTTCGTTTTCAATATTATTGTAAAAGTTACTTTATAAATAAAGCTTGATTCAACAGCAGAGGCATTTTAATCAGTTTTAATCTTACTAATTATATTGCACTAATTTTACAAAAAAAAATAGTAACTTTAAAAAATTCTTAGAAAATTAACCACTAGTGATAGAACAAGAAAATGGACCCATAGAAATGTACCACGAAAGAAAATTCTTTGACTATCGAAGCCGCATAGGACTATAAATGGTTAAAAATAACATGCATTGTAGCAAATACATTATTTCCTGTGTGAAAGCTTAGTTGCTATTTTTTTCACTTATTGGACATGCATGATTAACCATTTGCATATAATTTTTTAAGACAAGCAAGATGAATACTCCCACTACGCAAGTGTTGCTCACAAACTAAATGAAACAGCTTTTCAGAAGTTCAAGGAACTCTATGCCACTCATGTAAGTTTTAAAGTGATTCATGTTATACAAATAGTATCAGTTACAGGAACTATAACATTATAACATATAAGTAGGAAGGTGCCAGCTATCCACATTACAGGATCAAACCTTTCATTAGCTACCGACTATTTGAAAGTAGTCACTTTGCCAGCCATAGCAGAATATACAAAACTTGCATTCGGCAAGAGAAAATTTGATCTTTAAAAGTTTTTTTTTTTTGTAAAAATGTATGCTGTGCATTTCGTTATAATACCACCAACAAAGTTACAATTTTAGAAGCTGCAATCTTTTTTACAATTTTTTAATAAGTTCTTGTTGTGTACTTTTTAATCAATTGGCCATTCAATTGTCATTTCAATAATACAACTAGAGGTTTTAAATATTGTTTCCTTTTTTAAATCCACTCAAAGTTGAGGATTTATATATCATTACATTTTTACATCCACACAAGCTGTTTTAGATCCACATAAAATTGAGGTTTTATATATCATTTAATGTTTAGATCCACATAAAAATTGAGGTTTTATATATCGTTTAATGTTTAGATCCACATAAAAATTGAGGTTTTATATATCGTTTAATGTTTAGATCCACGGAAAACTTGATGAAATCAGGCGGTTCTTATCAGAGTTTGAAGTTGAGGAAAAGTCTGACATCTATGCTGCCATTAAGATGGACGTGGCTCAAGTCGTTGACAAACTAGAGAGCTTCAACAAGTCATATAACCAGATTAAAGATGACAGAAAATGGTTGGAGAGAGATGAAGTCTTGCGTCAGTTCTCCTATCTAAATGATATTTTTGTTGAAAAGAAGCTGAGCATTGAAGATCAACATAAGAAATATGTAAGTCAAATATTTTGTAACATTTCAGTGGTAAGTAACCTCATCTATCAAGTGGATTATTGCCTGGTTAAGAGGTTATGGGTAAATCCTTGTCAGGCTTGAAGTTGGGTCTTTCCAGATTTGACTTTAGATCTTGGTTGGATTATTGCAATTTTTTAGTTTGACTTCCCTGCCCAAAGGAAACTTATAAGACTAGTCACTTTCACAGTGTGCATGGCTGTGTGTTTATGATGGCCATATAATGCTGTATATTTACAAAAGTAATGGAGCAGATAAGTCTGGTCAGCTGCTAGGTAAACAAATGTTTAAGGGAGATAATACCTTGTTTGGAGTGACCTAGAAAAGAATTCAAATTTTAACACCTTGTTATAAAAATTCTTGTGTGGTCCATGACATCATAAAGTGATGTGGTGAAGTCTAGATTTAAGTGTGACTTAGGCCAATAACTTAGTTTAGTGAAACTGAAATATGCTCAGGTAGAGTTTAGTGAAACTGAAATATGCTCAGGTAGAGTTTAGTGAAACTGAAATATGCTCAGGTAGAGTTTAGTGAAGCTGAAATATGCTCAGGTAGATTTTAGTTTAGTGAAACTGAAATATGCTCAGGTAGAGTTTAGTTTAGTGAAACTGAAATATGCTCAGGTAGAGTTTAGTTTAGTGAAACTGAAATATGCTCAGGTAGAGTTTAGTTTAGTGAAACTGAAATATGCTCAGGTAGAGTTTAGTTTAGTTTAGTGAAACTGAAATGTGCTCAGGTAGAGTTTAGTTTAGTTTAGTGAAACTGAAATATGCTCAGGTAGAGTTTAGTTTAGTGAAACTGAAATATGCTCAGGTAGAGTTTAGTTTAGTGAAACTGAAATATGCTCAGGTAGAGTTTAGTTTAGTTTAGTGAAACTGAAATATGCTCAGGTAGAGTTTAGTTTAGTGAAACTGAAATATGCTCAGGTAGAGTTTAGTTTAGTTTAGTGAAACTGAAATATGCTCAGGTAGAGTTTAGTTTAGTAAAACTAAAATATGTTTGGTTAGATTATAGTTTAGTTTAGTGAAACTGAAATATGCTCAGGTAGATTATAGTTTATGAATCCTAAAAATTAAATTATTTTTGTGTTGTTGACAGAAGGAAGACGTGAATGTGGAGAAGGAAGCATCAAGTCAAGTTGAACTGTCAGAAGAGCATCAGGAAGAGATCAAAGAGGTTTGGGGTGAAGGGGATAATGTGGAACACAATTATCCCGAGAGACCGAGGGAGAAAAAGTGGGAGAATCGTGGTCGAGGACAAGGAGCTAATTACCCTGGCAGGGGAGGGCAAGGAGTTTATCAAAATGGCAGACGGATTAGTAGTCGAGGAAGGGGATACAACAATAGGAATAGGGAAGAGTTTCAGAGAGATTTACCACCAAGATTTAGAAAACAGTTCAATAGTAGCTGATTGACATTTACTACCAACAGAAACACACTGTCATGTGATTGGTAAATGGAACTAGTCATGAAAACATTTTTGACTTGATTTCTAAGTTTAAAAAATGAACCTAGAAAAATTTAACTTCTTCATATTGTCTTTAACTAGATGTGTTTTACAAGATAACTTTCTGTTTCAGTATTTATGCAACATATCCAATACTATTCATTTTCTTTTCTTTCTGTGAAGTTTTAGCTTGTTTTAAAATAAACTGAATCAAAATAGTATGTAAGAATTATAATACTTCATTTAAAAAATCACTTTATTAAATTATTTTTGTTTTGCTAAATTCATGTACACTGAGTTATCAGTTTTTTATTGAAATATTTGGTTATGTTACACAATCCACAAAAACATGACTGTACTTAAGTTTGTAGTTGCCATTTGTTTGGTTGATGTTAAAGAAAAAAACAACATTCCACTCTCAATATGGTTCTGGTTGAGAAGGTTTTTATGTTTCTTGCTTTGTTTAATTAAGTTTGTTACTTATTTGAGTTTGTGGAATATCATTGTTGTTTGATTAAACTTGTATCAATCTCATGGATGGTAGATTTTTCATTTTAGATGAATGAGTTTCATTTTGCTAATGTAAGAATGGTTTAATTTGTTTGTTTTATTTCATTACCCACTGGAATGCTGTGTTGTGTTGTTGTGACAATCTATTGTCTTTGAGGCCTCAATTGATTGGTCACCAAAGGTCATGTGACTAAATCTAGACAAAACATGTCCATTGATGTGCTGAGTGGAAACTGAGTGATCTCCCTTTACAGGAAACTGGGAGATCTCAAACCATGACCATTGGAGGTTGTTCCTTACACCTGGTGTTCCTTACACCTGACCCTCTATACCACCTGGTATTCCTTACACCTGACTCTATACACCACCTGGTATTCCTTACACCTGACTCTATATACCACCTGGTATTCCTTACACCTGACCATATATACCACCTGGTATTCCTTACACCTGACCCTATATACCACCTGGTATTCCTTACACCTGACTCTATACACCACCTGCTATTCCTTACACCTGACCCTATATACCACCTGGTATTCCTTACACCTGACTCTATACACCACCTGGTATTCCTTATACCTGACCCTATATACCACCTGGTATTCCTTACACCTGACCCTATATACCACCTGGTATTCCTTACACCTGACTCTATACACCACCTGGTATTCCTTACACCTGGCTCTATACACCACCTGGTATTCCTTACACCTGACCTTATATATCACCTGCTATTCCTTACACCTGACCCTATATACCACTTGGTATTCCTTACACCTGACCCTATATGCCACCTGGTATTCTTACACCTGACCCTATGTACCACCTGGTATTCCTTACACCTGACCCTATATACCACCTGGTATTCCTTACACCTGACCCTATATACCACCTGGTATTCCTTACACCTGACACTATATACCACCTGGTATTCCTTACATCTGACCCTATATACTATATACCACCTGGTATTCCTTACACCTGACCCTATATACCACCTGGTATTCCTTACACCTGACCCTATATACCACCTGGTATTCCTTACACCTGACCCTATATACCACCTGGTATTCCTTACACCTGACTCTATACACCACCTGGTATTCCTTACACCTGGCTCTATACACCACCTGGTATTCCTTACACCTGACCTTATATATCACCTGCTATTCCTTACACCTGACCCTATATACCACTTGGTATTCCTTACACCTGACCCTATATGCCACCTGGTATTCTTACACCTGACCCTATGTACCACCTGGTATTCCTTACACCTGACCCTATATACCACCTGGTATTCCTTACACCTGACCCTATATACCACCTGGTATTCCTTACACCTGACACTATATACCACCTGGTATTCCTTACATCTGACCCTATATACTATATACCACCTGGTATTCCTTACACCTGACCCTATATACCACCTGGTATTCCTTACACCTGACCCTATATACCACCTGGTATTCCTTTCACCTGACCCTATATACCACCTGGTATTCCTTACACCTGACCATATATACCACCTGGTATTCCTTACACCTGACCCGATACAACACCTGGTATTCCTTACACCTGACCCTATATGCCACCTGGTATTCCTTACACCTGACCCTATATGCCACCTGGTATTCCTTACACCTGACCCTATACGCCACCTGGTATTCCTTACACCTGACTCTGACGTAATGACTCCAGTACTTGATGACTCGAACCAGAATGTGAGAATCAAACGACAAACTCTATCAGTAGCTGGCAGGTCACGTGACATGAAACGATCAAGTGCATATTGGCCAGACAAAAATGTAGAAACTTGGTCAAAGTTTTTGGTTTGGTGATGGCTGATGGGCCTGGCGTATGTTGACGTCAGGCCGACTAGTCTGAAACCTCATCTTAGCGATGGCTAAGTTTTTATTCACCAGAAAATGTATTTAGTACACATTTATGAAGAGAATCAAAGTTAGCAGAGTTTAATATAACGGGGCCTACAAGAATCACTGGTGGGGGAGGGGGAATGTGTTGGTGTCCTAACGTAGGAACAGTCTAAGTAGAACATGATACGCAACATTTTATACAACTTTTAGAACTGTTGCTAATTAACATTTTAAATAACTGCCTGATAAATTTAGTTTTTTATAACCAAAATGAAAATATATTCTTTACAATACTTGTTGATCTGAGTGAAGGCCTGCGTTAACTTCGATCAATGCCTAGCGTGATTTTAACGTCTTTTACATCTCCGCTTTAAGTTAAACAAACTAGCAGCAGACAGAAACGGTTTCATAATAATATACCAGAAAGCAACTATTTCATAATTCAATGTGCGCCAATAAAATGTATAAGAAAAAGTTGATTTCAGTGTTGCACTTTTTTTTACAGAGGCGTGAAAATTTAAACAGGAGTGGCTTGATTTTTGCAACGGCGCGTAACTTTATTCACCGAAATCCAGCCAAGATATTCTGGTCCAACAATGAAATTCTGTTCTAACCAAGAAATTCTGGTCCAATTGAGAAATTATGATTTCACTTTAAAAATTATGGTCCAAAACGAAATTCACTTATTCAAGTGGAATTAATGAATAGATAATAATTTGGATAAGATTTTAACTTACACCTGTTGACTGCCACAAGTTTGTGTGTGCGTGCGTGTTTGTGTGTGTTTGTTTTGAACACATCAGCGGGAAGAGACATAGATATCAACAAACATGTAAGAGTTTCTTCCAGGCATCTCTTCGAAAAAAAATCTACCGCCCCCCCCCCCACCCACGAACTTCAAGTTTGTATTGGTTATTTCCCTTTATTAAATGGAATACTCAAATAACATTTAAATTTTTAAATTATTCAATTATGCTACATGTAGCTGTACTCAGTGGCGTAGCGAGGTCGGGTGTCACCCGGTGCGGCACTTAATGGTGTCACCCCCCAGAGGCATAGCGACCCTTCCCGGGGACAAACTTTCAAGTTTTCGATTTGCACCCCCCCCCCCCTCAAACTTTCGATTTGCACCCCCCCCCCAAACTTTCGATTTGCACCCCCCCCCCTCAAGTTTTTCTCTATATATTTTGCTATTTTTTGCCTTGGTGTCACCCCCCTAAATGGTGTCACCCGGTGCGGTCCGCACCCCCCGCTACGCCCCTGGCTGTACTTATTATTCAATTGTTATTGTACCATTGCTTTCTGTTGTCCGAAACATCTGATTCAGCTAAATATCCGCTGATTAGGAAGAAGTGGGGGGGGGGGGTGAAGGAAGGGAGGGGGGTACGCCGGAAGACGTAGAATGTAAACATTTGTATCCCCGGTGGCAAAGTCAGGTAGCTCAGGTGATCCATAGACGGTCCAGGCAAACAGTCGTAAACATTTATTAGAATCTCTCCCTTCATTTCATCTTAGAACACCTTCAATAGGCTCCTTCTAAAGGGAGATAACCCATTTGGTCACCGTTTAAAGGGACGTAAGCGAGTACTTTCATCTTACAATACTAGCCTCGCCAACCGCTTTTATTGCATGCACAGCGCTTCTTATCTTAGTCCGAGAAAAGTTAATGCCCTTGTCTATTACCTTGTTTTGCTATGAGACAAGTCCAGGTTATAAAGTACGAACTTTGCATTTTTTTTTCAACAAGAGCGATCCATCGTGTCAAAGGTGAATGGTTTAATCAAAGGTCAAATACTAAAGTGATATGCAACATAGTCGAGCAGTTTAAAAACAATTTTTTAAGAAATTTTTTTTTAGTTGATTTGTTTTAAAAATATCCTCGTGTCATTACCCGGTGAATTCATAGCACGAATCCGCTGCTCATAACCATTGACTACAACCACTGGCCCAAACACAATCACTGACTACAACAACTGACTACAACCACTGACCAAAACCTCTAACCATAACACAACTACTGACCACAGCATCTAATCACAGACTACAACCACAGACCACAACTACTGACCACAGCATCTAATCACAGACTGCAACCACAGACCACAACTACTGACCACAGCATCTAATCACAGACTACAACCACAGACCACAACTACTGACCACAGCATCTAATCACAGACTACAACCACAGACCACAACTACTGACCACAGCATCTAATCACAGACTACAACCACTGACCACAACCACTGACTACAGCCTATAACCACAACACAACAACTGACCACAGCCGATAACCACAACACAACCACTGAAAACAGCCTATAACCACAGACTATAACCACTGACCACAACCTCTAATTATAACCACTGTCTAACTATAACCGAAGTAATTCTTCACGTTTGTACCAGGATATAACGTAATTTTAAGCTGGTCTATTTCTCACTCGTTTGTAGGCATTTGTTCTAGAATGTTTCTAGTGTTTGTATCTATCTAAACGATGAACCGTCACGGTTGATCAGCACACCGTCACGACTGAGCTGTCACGTGGTCTCAGTTGAACGGTTGCAAGAACGGGACTCTCACTTCTGCTGGAGGCCACGCCCTGATTAGCGGGCCGGGAGATGAAAGCTGTTTGACCGCGCCAGGTCAGCACCCCACCACCCCACCCCCTCCCGAGATGCTGTGGCGCTAATCAACTCAATGGCCCGGCGCTCGTGTCTTGTAATGGGTAGCCTCCATCAATGGCCGCATATCAATGGCCACATAGCAAGTGGCCACATAAGGAATGGCCACATACAAATGACAACAAAAAGGGGAACAGTTTAACACTGGCGGTGTAGACAAAACTTGAAACACTTCTACAACATCTGAGGTTGGCGGTTCTTGCCTGTCGGCTATAACAATACAGTGCAAGTTAGAAACGTTGACTCAAATCTGTTCACGTTAAAAATAAATTTGAATACAATTGCTTTTGTTTCTTTTTCATTTTCATAAGTCACCCACAAAAACACCTGACACATAGAAATGTATTTGAGCAGCTTTAGATCTTTCCAGTCGCTTTGAGTTAGAAGAGTGTTGGGTTCCTTAAACTTACAGTACAAGATTTTTCATTGGTCCAAATATGGTGACACGTGACTTG